TGCTAGTATCAGGTTGATTGTACATCCAAGTGGCAACGAGAACAACGGAAGAACCCAGGACGAAGGTGAGAGTCATCTGGAAGTGGAAGAGCGCTACTGACGCGAGGAAGGATATGACGATACTGAGGGATGTAGCAAATCCCTTGAGGATGTTATCGGCGTACTTAATGACGAGCGCCGTCAACAGACCACCGACTACCTGAATACTGACCGTTGCCCAAGCCCATACACCAAAGTTGGCAAATAATTGCAGGCTGACCACGCCAGGGGAAGATGTCGACTGCGAGAAAAGGATCGGGAGCAAGGCAGGAAGGAGGGAGAACAGCGAAAGCTGCACATTGCGCACCCAAAGATCTGCCGGTGAATTCTTGAGCACCATCTCGAAATACACACCGGCAAGACCAGATGTGAAACAAGCGGCGACAACCGCCATGAAACCCTTGAATGCGTTCATCTCGTGGGCTTCACGAGCTGGTGAGGATGATCCACTCTGAATCTGGACAATGCCAACGCCGATAGCGAGGAAAAACAAGGCAAGCCACTTGGTGGGGTTGAGTTTTCTCCGAAGGAGGACGACAGAGAAAGCGGCTGTGGTGAGAATCTTCATTTGGTAACTGACCTGAAAAGTAGCTGCCTCAAGGTTGGAGACAGCAACGAATTGTAGATTATTTTGAATGACGTATAAGATAGCAGGAATCGACAACTTCCAGCAATCAGGCCTGAACACCTCCTTCCCCAGCCGTCTGAAACGATAGAGGAGGACACGAGGGTTCCACGAGGATGCATTAGGCGGATTGGAACCATCCAAACGCGCGAATGCAACGATGAGGGAAATGAAGCCCTTGAGGAGCTCGGTCATAAGTACGGCGGCAGCAGCGGAATAGGTGTGGGAAGGCGCGGCCGATACGCGTGAGTAATGCATTATGATGGTCAAGAGCGCATTTTGGACTGCCAGAGTCACCAATCTGTAGAGTGACGAAAGACATGGTCAGCGTCATGAGAATGGAAGGGTAAGGAAGCGGGTGTGAGCCCACAATGGCAGTAAGATCGTCACGAGCAGCCGCGTGCACTTGGCGCGCGAGTAGTAGTAAGAAGAACTCACGAGACGTATTTGAGCGGCATGCCACAAACATAAGGGGCCGCATTCTGGGTGTCGTTCGGGGTTGGAATCTCCTCGTCCTGGAAGACGTCTACCTCCTTCAAGCTCAGGCTCACATGGAGTGGATGGTGCTGGTCGTCGTAGTCGACGTGCTGAGACATGGGGCAGATTATGCAAATGTAGGTGTGGGCGAGGGTATGTTGCTGGTGCGCGAAATGAAGGAGACGGAAGGGGGGAAAGAGAGAAAGACCAGGCTTGCTCCGCAGCTTGTGGTCGAGCAAAGAGGAGGGAATGCTGCAGAATCGGCCGCAGGCTTTTCAGATCTGCCAGGCCTTACCCGTGGGAAAGCGCGGGAGGACTGCCTCTGGCGCCCGTCGCTGCGACATCGATCTCTTGTCCCCGGGCTATTTCTGGCCTTCACTCACGCCCAGCACCTCCATTCACTCATAAATCCTTGTCGTCGGCACTCTCACTGAGCCTCTCGCACCAATGCGATCGCCACGATGCCTCCCCCCCCGTCCCCCCACTGCCATGCTCCCGTCCGTTCGCGACGCAGTGGGGAACAGCGAGCGACCAGCCGGCGGCAACGAACAACCATCAGGCGCTTCAACCTCTTGGCGACGATACGGTAGAGGTAGTGGAGTGGCAGGACACGCGACAGCCCGGCTGTGCCCTCTTCTACAAGCTACTCCACAGGCCCAGCAGCTCCGCTGAATATACAGAACATACCCTCGTTGCTAAACACCCCCCGGACCTCCCCCGTCTGCTGCGCATCACGCTCTGTCGTCATCACGCTGGGCTGCTGCAGTCACCCTCTTGATCAAGTTTCATTCTTCATCCTCCGTCCCCGGTCCTCCGAACATCCACCTTCCATGATCCGGGTACTTACCTCGAGGACTGATTGAGACACGCACTCACACGCGCCGAGGTTGCGCCGCATTGACAACATGTATGATGCAGCATCCTAAATTCAGAGCAGTCTCTCGATGATCATACAACTAAATTTCGCCCTCGATCTCCAACGTCACTGGACAGTGGTCGGACGCACCGTAGATTTCGCTTCTGATTTCGCACATCTTCGCTCGCTCCACCAACCGCTCGCTTACCACGACTGCATGCATCGGCACCATAGGATGAGGAGCACAACAACGTCAGCCTCAGTCGATAAGGTCGCAGTACTGAGCATACGTACACATGTCTAGTCGCCAACCAATGCCTTTCATCCTGCAGTTGAATCGATACGAAAAGTAAGTGTAATGACGGTCCTCTGGATGCATCTTTCGCCATATGTCGACGAACGTCCCAGCAGGGGAACTTTCTTTGCTCTTCCCCACATCTTTCGACACGGGGGCCGAGGGATCCAGGATCCGGGAAAAAGCACCCGTCTCCGCCTCGGTGTACCCCGCTGTTTTGTTCCAGTTGTTCTTTGCGTTTGTCAAGTCTATAATTGGTAAATAAATCACAAATGAGTAATATATAGATCAAGAAGCTCAGGCTGCGCAGCACGCCAAGCAGATGACATGATATCCTAATCTTGCAGAGCCTACTGGACTAACCTTTTCCCGTAGGCGCGACGTTCAGGTCTCCGGTCCATATGACCGGCTTTTTCCTGTCCAGAGCACGAATGTACTTCGTGAAGTGCACATTCCACTCTTTCTTGGCTTCTAGTGTCTGCACAGCGTTATGGATTCCCAATTCGCTTGACACGCATCGTCAATATATGAATGGTGGAACACACCTTCAGGCCCTGTCCTGCATTAACAACGTATGTGCCGATAAGATAACAATGCTCGAATTCAAGTGTGAGAATTCGCCCTTTAACTGAGTCGGGATCTGGGTGGCCGGGCAGATCTGTGGTCACAGAAATTGGCTTGATTTTGGAGAGAACAGCCGTTCCCGCTACTCATGTAATATATGCACGCGTGCATATCAATTGTGAGCGCATAGTGAGCACAACATGTCTAACGCGCAACTCACCGTACGACTTCTTTGTCGATATAGACCAATACCGGTGCGGAAAACGGCTTGAAAGAGTCGGATCAGCAGGTTCGTTGTTGACCTTGACGAAAGACATCCTATTCGTCATTCTATCAAGACGTATACAAAAAAACGCACCTTGGTCTCTGTGAGTACTAAAATATCTGGATCTTCAGCCTCTAGGTAATACTTGAATCCCTAAAGCGCTATGAGCAAACATAGTCATGATTGACTAAGATTATGATGCGGAGACGAACCTTCTTCTGGGCCGCCGCAAGACCGCATATATTCCACGTCGCAATGCGAAGTGTGCCAGGCGTACGTTCGGGGAACGACACCTGCACCGGTATCACCTTATTCGTCGGCTGGCCATTCGGCGCAAACACGCTGGTACTTGGCGCAGCAGGCTCTGACGCGTCATGTTTTGTTTTCTCCACCGAATTCTTCGCCTGCACCTTCGCCTTCTTCGCGCGCGGTCGCGCCTCCACTTTTATTTCTGGAGAGCTTGGCCTTGATTCGGAATCCGAGTCCACGTCAGGAGACTCGCGGCTGCGCTTGGTGGCGGTACGCGCTGAGCCAGACGTAGAACACTTGAGTGGCATCTTTGAAAGATGCTCCTGATACCACCTTGACTGATAGTAATTTAGAGGGAAGCTACGCTGGGCAGAACTGAGCGCAACGCTCAGGAGAGACAGCTGTACACTGCGGAGGGCAGTGGCAGAAGGCAACCGCATACGCAAGCTATATGTATATTTCGCGCCACAGACGCGTCAAGATCATGTTGATGCACGGCCCGTGTAACCGGGTACCTCACCGTAAGCCTCAACATTGGTCTCCAGGTTGCATTCTGTGTCAGCTGCGCACACCGGCCGCTGAAATGCTCGTCCAACCCACAACCGTATGCAAATGTACAATCACACGTCTCTGAGTATAAACCATCGCGCACTTCACTCAGAACTCCCCAAACTGGACATGACCTGTTTCCGATGCGTGTGCCCGTGCCTCTTTCTCGCCTTTCAGACCCTTTCGACATATCTGTATTGCACTCCAATATGAGTTGCAGTGTTCATGCGTAAATATGTAAATAACATACTTGACATCTCAAGTCGAATGTCGCTGTATTTGTATAAGCTCTCTTTGCTCTCAATATGTCCGCGAGCTTCTTTGCGGCGACTAACAGCGGGTCACTGTCGCCCGGAGCCACTATTGGTGCAATTGTCTGGTGGAAATCAGGCGGCGCATCTGCCGTAGGCGCAATGCTGGCAGCGTCATAGTGGATTCCGGAATAAATGAGGACACAGCGATTGCCGGAGTTACTTCCGGAGGACGGCGTGAATTGATCAATGCGTCCAGTTTCGACATCAATCGAAGCGATTTCAGTGGAGTAGTGAGCCGCTAGAATGGTCAGCTCGATTGCGCCTCCCCATGAAGAGGGCTTGAGTATGGTTGCAATGTAGTCCTCCCGAGGACGACTGAATGTATTTCACATAAATCAGCTCCTCAGACAAGTACAAAGTGATATTCCGTACCCTAGAATAGCCTCGTTCCAAGTTTCAAGATCTTTGCGGATCGCATCTGCAACAACTATTCATTGGATACCGATTTCTCAGCATAGGGAATTTCCGCAGAATACGACACCACACACACTCTCTCGAATTTTAGACGCCTTCGAAATATCTTGCTCGAAAACGAGGGCGACGGAGGAGAAAAGACACGAGTTGTCATCTGGGACAATCTGACGTGATTCATGCAGATTTAATTGTCCCATGTGAATAAAGAGTAATCCCACGTACACGGTGGACCAAATAACCGCCTTCCATAGGCACGGAATGTGGGCCGGCATCATTTCCCGTGCCCACAGTTAGAGCTACTGGACCCCGGTCAGGAATCTGCGATGCTGCCAAACTGGTCATGGCGGATGCTGGACCACCCAAAGGTAATGCAGAAGCCGCATTGGATCTGAATGGCGATTGTACAGAAGAACCGGAGGGCCGTTGAGTCAAGATAAGCTGATCTCCTTGCTTTAGGCCCAGGCTGGAGACTGGGAGCTCGGGTATGAGTGTAAGAGGCTGAGGTGGATAACCGGCTTTCACTGTGTAATGTGACCAACATCAATAAGACAGCAATTTCATTAGTACAAAGTTAGGAAGGCGCACAGTCTTGTTGAGACGGTGAGATCTCCGTGACACAGAAAATTTGCTGTTGCAGATCTAGAACAGTCGAGCCATCAAGATCGACTTGAAGGGTGGACACGCCTTTGGGATGTCGAAGACGTATGGGAGCCATCAGAAACAAGTATGCCTCAACTGAGTAAGAAACAGACTGTGGTCTGCAGTGGATGATAGTTGTTAGATAAGATGGTACGCGCAATGCTCCCCGGATTCTGGAGCAGCTCAAATCGTCACCGTGCTCCGAATCATGTGCGGCCGAATCCTGAACGCGAGCGCTTATCGATTCGCGACCCGAGGCAACACCACTCTCCAGTCGCAGACTATCCAAAATATCGCTGCAATTAGCCTGACAGACAGCCATCGTCACATCTTTACTCGTCCTCATAATCCTCTTCTTCCAGCATCTCCTCGTGCGCCACAAGCACGTCTTCCTCGTACTCTGCTTCTCGAATCTCACGCCTATACAGACGGAAATATAATGCAACACCTGTAATCGCAAGGGAAATCCAACCCCAACGAGCTACCGTATAACGGCCATCCTCGACACTGTGCGCTACTCTGGGTTTGCGTAGGAGAGAAGATATGCGGAGGGGAATCAGAAACATAATAGAAGATGATGGATTCGACCGAGCGATGGGAGGGACAGCATTTTCTAAAATGGCAGATTGGACGGCACGCGCATGCGCCAATATTGTTGGAAACGAATGAACAAGTACTGATTGAAGTAGATTGTCGGTAAATGGCAATTGCGCGAGTATATGCGTATGTGCAGCAAATATGATATCCAACGATGTAGGCCTACTCCGGTACAGTATCAGTTTATGAGAACGCCACCGCATCCAAATTCGATCATTTACCGTTCGCTGCTGTAAAAAAACCGGTCCTCGCCAAGAAACCTTTCATATATAGATAAAAATTCCCGGGCTTGTTGAGCGGCCTAAATGTTACACAGCGGTGAACGTTAGAATCAAATCAAAGAGCCAGAAGACAGTACAAACTTTATCTCTTGCAAATACAGTTTTGAACCTCTGAGTTTCCGCCTGCTTGTTTTTTCTTTTGTCTTTTCGAAATGCGGACATCACATTTTCCTTATCGTCTTGGTCGACGCTTGATATGTTCCACATTTCAGCAGCTTCTAGTCTCGGTCTGTAAGAATTACGAAGTCTTTCTGGGACATAGTAACACTGCGGCACCGGAAGAGCAGATACGATCGCAGGCCGCGTCACATTCCACCAGTTTGTATCAATGGAATACAACATGGCAGTCTTGGAATTATTCAGTAAGTTCCCAGCTGGTCTGAGTATACACACGATAACTTCTCTCACCAATAAATCACCATAGGTTGTCTGTACGTGAGCGATCCTCGCTGCAGACTGCGCCTTTTGAAATGAGCCGTCTACGTCGAGCGCACCAGGCAAATTTTTGACGTAGTGAACAATAGAAGTCAGTGACGATACATTATGTAGACCGTGCGTTAGATAAGGCAGTTGACCTAACGTCCTCCGTCAGTCAGGGAGGGAGAAACCGGTACTCGTCGCACTAACCGCTCGGAGCCTGGTCGGGATTTGCAGTGTATGCAACGGAGAATCTTCCGGGAATAGCAAGCTGAAGGTGGAATAGGGCAGCAACACATGCTGGCTCAACAGAAAGAGCTGAAGCCGAGGGAGGCCAAATGCTTAGCACGATCGTTTCGCTCAACATCATTGATGATTGCAGTCACTGTCGAGAGGTGACACACGACGTCACATGCGCAAACGCTCGCGTGATGCTGTGACATCGTGTGTAATCTCGATCGCATTGAGCCGGTGGCTTGAGTGACCGTGCGCTCGTCGACCTTCGCTCTGCTTGAGATTCTGCACTCACTTCTCGATTGCCTACCGACTTAGAACATAACGAATGGAAGACGATCTCATTGTCGTGGATGACGTCGAGGAGCAGTCAGCAGGTCCATCCACGTCTAATGGCGCAAGAGACGCTGACTTCGACTATCGTCCAACCCGCGCGGCAACGCGCACGATGACTCGTGCTGCCTCACGCAAGAACTCTCCTCCCACGTATGGAACTAGCTTTGACTATATGGAGACTCGTGCTACTCGCTCTGCAACTATGCGAAACAAACCCCAGCCGAAACTCAAGCTCAAGTTGAGCGAGAAGGCAGCCGCTCAAGCCCCTGGAATCTCCTTTCTTGGTCCGTTTGACAGAGAATTAGATTCCGACGACGAGGATTTGGTGTTTGAAGAGCAGTTCATTCTAAGACTACCTCCTGGTGAAGACTGCGAGAAGCTCAGAAAGATGGTTGCTGCGCGGGAAGTGAGTAATGACGTCTGGTTTAAGTTCAAGGGTGAGTTTGCTGTTAGTGTTTGCCATATGGCGTCAGAAAACAGCGTTCGTCCTCAGATTCCCGGAGGGCTGTCTTCCATATTGGTAACAATACTTACTCATCGAAACTGGTCGACCTCCCGTGTGTGATCGAGTCTCAGAAGACTTTGGACAATAAGCAAATGTTCAAAGTTGCAGACATATGCCAGGTCACATGATCTGACCTACCTGCTTCAAATTATTTCCTCACCATTAGGTAATATAGATGCTAGTAGTCGACAATTCTGTCGAGAACGAAGATGCCTTGACAAACCATAGGAATTTCAATGTCGATGAGTTCATCTGGCCTCATGGGATTACACCACCGCTTCGCCACGTCCGCAAACGTCGTTTCCGTAAAAGAGTGAACCGACGAGTATGTAGGCTCGTTATTGATCAACGGCAAATTGATTTGACTCGCATATATTACATAGACAATAGAAACTGTGGAGCAGGAAGTCGAGCGACTTATCGAAGAGGATTCTCTAGCAGCGGAGGTGCAATATGGTAAGTACATTTGTGACAAATAGACTTCTTGTCACGGTTCATCTTGTTGTAAAGATGTTTTAGAAAATGTGAACCCAGACTTGTCAGACTCAGAGTTCGTCGAGAAGGAGGTTCTTGATGCACCCACTCCCTTTATTGGATCAGATGCAGGAGATGCTCCCACCCCTGGTCCAGATCACATTGATGCAGAGGATGAAGAGGGTAATGAAGAAGGGGAAGGTGAAGATGATATTGATGAGGAATTGGCTGCTGAATTGGACCTGGCACTCGGAGATGAGGAGGCAGAAGGCGATGATGAGGACGACGATGAAGAGGAAGACGAAAGTGAAGAAGACGACGACGACGACGAAGATGATGAGACTGTTCAAGCCCGCAAATTGCTGAATGAAGAGATAAGGGATTTGGAAGCAGCGGTTGCGAAGAAAGGAAATGAAATCGCAAGCTCTGCTAATCCACTCATTAAGGTTTGCTTTCGATCAACTAGTGTATTTGTGTTATCTCTTTACGTCATTTTACAGCGGCGTTTCGAGGATGCCCTGAAGAAATTACAGGCTGATTTAGATATGAAACTTGCTCAAAGGGACGAGTTGAAAGAACTGCAGCGCAGGAAGAAGGAAGGCATCGTGACCGAGGACGCAGATACCGAAGGTGGGAATGGAGCGGATGGCGACGACGGGTTGGAAGACAATGATGATTTGTTCGGTGACAACCCCGGTACCTCGATGGATATCGATTAATGCGGTGGCCCGTATGTCTGCTATTGGGTGACCTGCCTCCTGGCCACTTAACGTCCCATATACGCGCCGCAAGACTCACACTGAATTGCTAAGGGGTAGCAGGCAGACGATCGCTGCCTGAAATAACAAAGGCGCATAAACTATGCAAAAGAACGGGGCAAACCATACTTCGAGGACTTCCCAATCCACTACAGCATTGTGTAGTTCTGTCTGATCTCTGATGAGCCATCCGAATCCCAGGAGGATATATACAGCGAACTTTAGAAGGCCAGTCTTGATATTTGTGCTGGGAGATGATAGACAAAGCGGTAGTCCTAATATGACGGCGAGGACCGCGGCAAGAGAGAAGTTGAGCAGTGAGATTACGGAGATAACTGCTGATGCCAGACACAGATTGAAGAATTTCAACATATGGGGGAGGTCCGGTGCTGTTAGAAGGCATCTGATAGGGCGGACAGGAAGTGCACAGACGACCGCAAACAGAAGCCATCTGGATACCTGGGATTTATTCGAATGTCAGCTAGTAAAAGGCTCGGGATGCATCGTTACTCACTGCTGGACTAGCAATAAACCATAATCTTGTAACCAAAAAGAACAGCATAGCGCCGAACAAATGAGATGTAACCATTATAGCAACAACCGGGAGCACCAGTCTCTCTCTCCGGATCCACTGTCTTCCATCATGAGTGGCGTTAAGGCTAATATGCAATTTGTCTGGTTTGTGCTCAAGGACTGATGAAGTCAGTAGCCAGCCACTATTGACCCATTCCCTCAATCCCGCAATCAACATCGCGGTACTGATACTGATAGCGCTGGGTAAGTATGCACCAATCTTGAGGAAAGTCGCACTGCCGACTAGTAAGTAGAAGAAGAAAGACGCGTGAAGACGTTCCAGCAAGTTATTTGTCGTTCTCAACGTTGACTCGATGATGCTGCAAATAACAAAACTCAATAGCCGCTCATTACATGTTCAAGAGCTACTGACCGCCCTATAGCATGGAACCCATGGGGACCTGGGGCTGGAACAGCGAAAACGGTGATTGCGTCAATCCGATACCTACACAGCGAAATGTAGAAATTGCCCCGTGATACAGTTATAGAGACATACTGATGCATCAATCCATGTGTACCGCTTGCTCTACCTCGAGCCTGATATCCAACATGTCGCAGAACATTTCTGGCTCGGTAAACGTATTCGCTGAGATGTTTGTGATTCTTGATAAAATCGAAAAGCCAGGATAGAAGACCATTCAGCTCGTATCGACGAGATGGGAACTCGTGAGGATCCAGCTGATCATGAACGACCACCGGCACGCCACCAGTGTACTTCGAGATCAGTTGGAACGAATTGATGAGGTCCTGATTTGGTAGACGACCATTGAGACCTTCTAACGGTGAGGTATTAGGACAGCAACTATCACCTGCCGGAACAAACTCACCATAAAATACGCCAAGATGCGAAAACGAGTGCCCCGGGTAGTCAATACTCAACGCCGTCCAAATGACACCTGAGTATAAATCCAACGGTTCTGTCCAGAGATCTGGAAGCATTATCTATAGTCTGCAAACGGGTTATACAATCAATGTACTTACTCGATTGACGATTACCATGATATGCTGCGGTCCAAGCCTGCATGCCTTCCAAGTAGCCATCGCTGATGACAAATATCAGATCCTTTGCCCACAGCGAATGATCTGATTATACTGAGTATCATAGTGAACGTATATTCATTCATGAGTACGTACTTTTCAGAAAAGCAGCTAATGCCATTACGGTAGAAATACCACGAAGATTGCGTGTTCCATCTCCTTCACCAATCCTGCTCAACCATGAAGCACTAATGATCATAGCCTCTGAACCCGAGGCGCGAGGAGAAGACAGAATAGCATATGAATTCGTGCCATTCAAACTCTGATAAAATGATCTGTCAATCTCCACCAATGGTCAAACAGGTAAAGAATTACCCCAAAGGTTGTTGTAAAGGAGAAACGTTGCTTTGATGCAGGTAGTCCAATTTTCTCGAATTCGGAAATCAAATATTCAGATATCCTGTGTTCAAATTGAATACATTAAGAAATAGCAAACTAGAAATGGCCTCACTCGTCACTTGTGGCTTCACGACTACACAGGTAGTCTAATGTAGAAAGATACTGATCGGCACGATGGACATCCTCCCAGTCCCAGAAGGTGTTTACCTGCGTACCGAACTCGTCAAGGTTAGTATGTGAATTGTCACTGTGTGCCTACCTGCCCAGGCTGCAGGGCATTCTCGTCAATGTACGTCCTCTGACCAAATTGGGGTGCAGGGATGGCAAGAATCCATAGATACCCGATTACAAGAAATACGGATCTATGGAAGGTTTCAGTCAAAACGACCATTCCTCACGAGAGCTGAGAAAGGCTCCGACATAAGATGCGGCACACAACTCCAAAACAATCCGACAAACTTCCTTCGTCTGCGTATTCTGCTAGCATTCCGATTTGGATTGGTCTTGAAGTACTCGCGCAATCTCGCCGGCAGTCGAACCACAGGCATTGAACGAACCAAAAGGGACACACGCCTGCAGTAAAGAGTTGATAGTCACTGTCAGCGTCAGAACGTCTTAAGTCACATGACACGCTGGTCATAAGTAAGTCGGCAGTGAAACGGCGAGGGATAAAATTGGACAGCAAATTATCTGGTACAAAGAACTAGTCGACATAAGACACAACAATAAGGACCAATCATAAAAATAATCCTTAATATCTCCGTCGCCCAGGTGAACGCGAGCGCTCTCGTCGTCTCTCGCTGTTGAAGATTCAGTCTTTCGTATCCGAGAGATGAGCACAGAACTTACTCATAGCGAGACGGATGTCTATCATATCCTCTATCACGCTCGCGGTCGCGGTAATCATCTCGTGTCGATCGGAAGTCGCGAGGAGGCACCCCACCGGCAGCCGGCGGGACACCACCATTGGTCGCGGACCCTGTGGAGGGAATGGTTGCAGGAGGAGCCATTTTGCGCTTCTCTCGCTCTTCCTTGAACTTGATCAACATTTTGCGCAGCTCGTGATATCCTAAATGCATCTGTGGTGAATAAGTTAACCATAGTATGTTCAATCTCATGACCGTTGTGACTAACCTTGCCACCGAAGTGATCTGCGAGACGACGATCTGAATCCAGAACGGACAGGTATGCACCACATACGTCACAAACCCGCAATTTTTGGTGCCCAGATGCGCCAGACGTATCGGTTAATTGTTGCAATTCACGCTGGCAAAGGCGCAAAATATCAAGATACAATCACTGGCATTCAGAGCGTGACATACCTCCTTATCCGCCTTCTCGCTCTTGAGAGCCTCTATAGCGGCCATCTCGCGCATCGATTCATCTACCTTTCCTTGTTCACCTTTGAATGAAGGTTAAATAATGGGCCCAAAAGACAAAGGCTGATGAAAACGTAGACTGACCCAAGGTCTCGATTTTTTCCGTCCCACCCTGAATTGCCAGCTCAATCTCAGCAATTTCCCTCATCTACATTAAGTTTAGCTCCAGCGAACATGCTAAAAAAAGGTAGACGCGCCAAGTTTGTCGTCTTTGCATTTTCCTCCGGGGTCTTTTCCAACCTCCTATGCGCAGCCCTGATCCTCCTGTCGCATTCATCGACGAATGCGAAAATATTAGACTCATATTCCGTCTGAAATCGAGCAAATATTGGGTCATTTGGATTAGCCTCCTTGGCTTGCAGGTATTCTGTCTTTAATCGCTCTGTGTGTGATTTGGGGCAAGCGCCCAAGTCCATTTTCTGGTTCCAAGCGTAATGACGCGGCTCAATTAGCGCAAAGAGAGCAGGAGACTCACGGTATTGGTGAAGAGCGTGTGAGGGCATGTACCGCACAAGAAGTTTCTACAGACCTTTTCATCGGACCACGTTAAATTGGCGTTGGCAACACCCATGGCCTCCGGCCCCATCATTTGCTAAAAGCGTTTAGTCGTAGTTCCAGCAGTCTAATGTTGACGAAATACCTCCAAAAGCTTCCTCTGCATTTCAGCGAGACGACCCATTGTTATAGAAGCACGCCAACTCAACAAGCTAGATGCGACGTGTAAGTTCAGGACTAGAGTGTCGTGCTTGGTTGTAGCTCGTCAAGTTGGAATTACGGTACTGTAACCGGCTACAATATTTAATTACGTAATGAGAGATGTAAGAACGTGATTTTAAGGTGCCAAGAACAAAGTAATACTATATGCTCTGCTGCTAAGACGAAGCTATCAAGAAGTACTATCTATAGTAGACGCCATCAATTCTGCTGCAAAAATTATATTCTATGAGGAAGGGTGACCTGAATTGGTGAAAGAGACTCGTCAAAATATTGCTGAAGTCAAGATTTCAAGTGACGTCATGACCTCTCCCCCGGCCACGAGCTCTCCCTCGGCTTCGGCCACGCCCGCGAAAATGGGCATCAGAACTACCAACGTGTGGTTGATAACGCGGTTGATTTGGAGTAGCTGGTCCATGAGCTGAGGAGAGACCAGTATCGCGTGGCTGTTGAGCTTTCTTATATGGTCGCCTCTGGCGAGGAATACCGCGGCGAGAATCAAGTGTCCCCTTCAAAATGTCGTCGGTATGACTATGATCACTGGATAACGGTGTCTGCAAACCAGAAGAATCACGCGCGGATGAGGTTTGGTGGGGGGAATTGTTATCTGGTAACCTGTCTGCAGATGCAGGGTTGACTTCAGGAAGCTTGAGCCCGCAATGCTTCATAAAAAGATCTTGAATCTCCTCCAACTTCCCTTCATTTTCGCATTCCCTGTTGACATCTCCCAAAATTGCTGCTCTTCCATCTCCGGAATTCACATATACCCACTCATCGATTATCTCCTCGCTACTTGCGAGCTGTTTATACAGAACCATCCAGAGTGCTTCCAGTTTGTGGGAGTCCAACGCAAGACGTAGCAGTGACTTCGTTGGCGGACGGCTATATACCTTCTCATTGTCACTATCCTCGGGAGGATATGTTGACAAAAAGTGGCGCATAATGAGGATATGTCCATGCATCAAGGCGACATGAAAGGCAGTGAAGCCATTGGAATCTCGTTCGTCGGGTTCGGCACCTAGAAGTCAGAATCAGTCAGACCTGGTATATGAAACTGAACAGATCAATCTACTATGTGAGTCTAGCCACTCGACCAAACATAAATCCCCGTTCTTGGCCGCGATGTGTAGTAATGTCTCTTGTTCATCTTGTAATGATCGGACAATGAACGCCTCAGACCCCTTCCTAATCTCGCCACCCGCTGCATCGACATTATCCTCCCATATACCTTTCTTTACCTTCTCAACATCCCCTCGCCGGGCAGCGTCAAACACCTCAGAACGCAACATTTGAAGATGTTGATGCTGAGCGCGTGCCTTTTGTTCCGCCGATTTCTGAGCCGCAATGGCCTGTGCTTTCTTGTTCATTGCCTTTGTCTTCTGTCGTAATTCTGCTTCCTTCCGTTCTAAGTGTGAAATGATGTCAATACACATCATCGTTACAAAGCAATGCAACACGCCTCTTTCGCGTTCCTCTTCGGCTGTCACTTTACGCAACTGTTCCTCGCGTATACGGCGACTCTCCGCCTGTTCTTGCTCCTCACACATTCGACGTACGCGGGCTTGATGTTCTTCTGGAGTTTCGTGGAACGATGGTCGACGACGGCGATACTCTGCCTCGAAGATCAGCCAGAGGCAAATGCGAAACGCTGAGCCCCTACGTGTATGAGAATACCGACTCGTATTCCCTCTCATCAACCGCTCAAATAACCACCTGTTTTGCGCTGTAGCTCAGAAGGATAGTGATACGTTGATGCACTTACATGTAAAAGTGGATGTCTTCGGATTCAGATTCGTAGTCATCATACTCATCTTCAAAATCGTCGTAGTCACCATACTCGTCATAAGAGTCGGATGAGTGTGTATATCCACGGCCTCGGAAGGGTGCCGACGAGCTATCTAGATGCTTGACGAGAACATTGTATGCCTCGCTCAAGCGCTGAAATTGGGCGGTGGCGTCCTCATTTCCCGGATTTTTATCTGGATGTGTTTTGAGGGCTAGCTATATGCAGCGATGAGCCGATACGAGGGGTAATGAATCTTAAATTTTCACCAACCTGCTTGTAGGCATTCTTGACGATTTCCAACGAAGCACCCTTCGCATTCATGGCCCGTTTCCATGAGTCTCAATATACTGGTTACAAAGACACACAAACCTGCTCCACTCCAAGGGCATTATACGCTTCTACCACAGTTAAGTGTTTGTGCACCATCTAGATCGCCACCGCAGATGGTGGACTGAAGCAACACAGTACAATGAAGACCGTCGCGCGAAGACGCGCCCCGCGTCGCGGATAAGTTTCGGTCACGAGCACGTAATGTACGCGCGCGCATAAGCATCCCTTAACTTCAAATCACAATGAACCGGTATGTATTAACTTCAGTGTATGAGACATCGCGCGCCTGGATTTACTGACCGTGAACCTCGTTCAGTCCACCTACCAATGAAGTTTTGTTGTTTCACATAGACGCAGGTTGTTTACTAGCATTGCTGTGGAGAATGAAAACCATATAAACCATCGGACATAAGACCTTATAGCATTCAATCATCGGCTAATTGGCGTCGAAAGCAACACTTCTGCAACTTTCTGTAATAGTATACAATGCATCGGTCACTATTCGGATAGGGCTGGCGGAAGGACATCAGCGCGTATTTGAACAGTATAGTGCATGATAATCTGAGTACACGGAAAGCCTATTTGAATTCTAACAAAATCGGTCGCTTGAGAGAATGAGACACTATGTCTGTGAATGTCGCCAAGAAAACATACCTTTTGAGTTTGGAACGCCGGTCCAACAATGCTTCAGCCAATCGTCCTTCCTTACGAGCTCGCTTCAACTGGTAAAGTATCAGAAAAGAAAGTACCCGACGACACTCAGAACACAATTGCCACACCTCTTTCTTGTCTTCCACAGACACAACAGACCTACCAGCCCCCCACGCTTGGTAAATTTTGCTAGAATGGCGGTTACATATAGTGCTGTGAAGGTAGGGCTTACTCACTTTGTACCGGCCTCATTTGCCTTCCCGTCTTCCGTAACACCTTCCTTCTTCTTCTTTTCCTCTTCGTAGGCCTCCTTCTTGTACTTGCTCTGAATCTTGACCCAAAACCGCTCCGCAAAACCCACTTCTTCACTATCTCCACGCAAAGAAAATGACCCGCCTGCCACTTCATCTATGCTTAGATATTTCTCATAGACATTCTGGAGCGCAACCATGCCATCAGGGAAGACTATGGGCGTCCATTCCTCCTGTGGCCCACGAGCCTCACGATCCGCAGATACCAGCCCGTGCTTGTCGCACGACAGAAACTTCCCCTCGCCGGTTCCTGTACGCAAGTTTATTGTAGGTGATCCGGCCACACGAGTAGTAACCCACACCTGTGAGACTTCCGTTGGCGTACGCTCGAGAAGGTTCAGCGAGGTCTGTCCTTCAGTCTTGTCCTTGTCGAGAGTGTGAAGGATTATACGGCCTCGGGTCGAGTCAAATGTTATGCAAATTGGAGATGGATCAGAAGGATGCATGATGAAAGTCGGTCCTCGGATTTCGAGGGCAGTCTCTGGTAGCACCCAAGTATCCGGGTTATCATCATCCTCTTTGCGGCGACGACGACGAGTACTAGACCCATCATCGCCATCTTCCCGCTGGCGCTTCTTCTTAGCCTTCTCTCCCTTGAATTTGAGCTTTGTTGAGCGAGCTTTGTCCTCGCTCATGATAGTGGACGGTAAATCCTCAAGCGTAGGTAGCGCCCGAGCCTAGACAGGGTCAGACGCGCCGGAGACGAGCCCGTGGGAACATTCACTTTTCCGGTCGTCACTCATATCAGTCCACGCCGTCCCCCCATCCTCAAAGTTCTCGAGTCGCTCAAGATGAAGTTCAACCCTGGTCAGTTATTAGTTCGCTCTTGTGTGATATGCTGGCAAGCTATCTGGGCTCGAAAGAACGCAGAAATTTGGGCAATGATTTGGGTTGGATGAACGCTCTGCCGTCCAGATGCACCCCGGGACCACATTCGTCAATCGTTTGCTAACTATCAATTCCCTGTTCATCTGCTTGTTTCCCTCTAGATGTATCCTCTTCCAGACGCAAATCGCGCAAGGCGCACTTTTCCGCGCCGTCCTCCATTCGCCGTAAAATTATGTCCTCCGCCTTGTCAAAGGAGCTTCGCGGAAAGTACAACGTACGCCTCCTACGCTACTCTTTCTCTCCATTGAGCTGATTATCCTACAATGGCATAGACACGGTCATTACCAATTCGCAAGGAAGACGAGGTCCGGATTGTGAGAGGCAAATACAAGGGTCGGGAGGGCAAGGTCACACAAGTGTATCGTAAGAAGTGGGTGGTCCATGTGGATCGGGTCCAGCGCGACAAGTCAAACGGTGCCAGCGTACCAATTGGTGTCCACCCTAGCAATTTGGTCATCACAACCATCAAATTGGATAAGGACCGGTGCGTGCGATTCTGGTCAATTGGGGGTCGGCGTCTGAGTATCCTTCGATAGGCGAGCGATTCTCGAACGAAAGGATCGTAAGAAAAACAGCAAATCGAGCGACGACGTTGAGATGGTTGATGTATGTTTTATATGTTTCTTACCCATTCGTCTGATTAACGTGACGAACATCATAGTGATGCTTGAATTTCTCTATTTCTTGCTGTTTTCCCCGCGTACCCGTACCATCAAAACATTCCATGTATGTACACCCACGCACATGATATGCCCCGCCCGCCAATGAGCCCATATGCATTCGCTATTATACAACTGGTCGGATGACTATGTGAACGGAGCTCTTTCAATGTGCATTGTTGCTTGAAATGAATGGTATTAAGCGGACTACTCAGAATATGATATCCTCGTCTTTACTACTCAGCAGGTCACCTCCACCTCCTTCAATCTCGGGGATGAAAGATGTGACGTCTTCCGATTGCTCAAGCAACTTTCTCTGAGCCTCTGCGGCTTCTGTATCGCGCTTTTTCTTGCCTTGGACTTTCTTTAATCTATTGTACAATATATTTGTAAGAGGGGCTATCACGCGCAGGGACCGTGCTTACCTGAAGAACTCCTCTCTATCCATTTCGTCCAGTTCGCTCAGGATGTACTTGATAGTGTTGTCCAGTCGCGGAATCACGACATGTTCAATTGCATTCACGCGACGATTCGTAGCGCGGATGACCTCATCCAATATCATGAACGCTGTCTGCAAAGAGGCGAGCTCGACTAGCGTCTCTACCGCCTTTGCATACACTTCCTTGGCTCGTAAGACTTGCTGTCCGCCGCGACCGAGACCCGTGAGATTGAAATCTCAATAGGAGCCAACGGATAAATCCATCATAATATAGCACCAAGGAGAGAACACACCTGTGCCCGGTACACGATCGACCTCGAACGCCGGTAAGACAACGCCCGAGACGTTCTCCTGCTTTGCTTTGACTTTGAACGAGGCAGATTTGGCCTGCTCTTGCACTAGATATGATATATCGCCAGTAGCATAGGTGACTTCGGCCAGGGAGAAGGACGCGAGCTGCATGACCCGCCCCATCTTTCGCTTTGCCTGTAGAATACAGAGAGCATACACAGGGACCGGATCAGAAGCATAACGAGAGCGCATGTATGCCAGCTCAGAGAGCGACGATCTTGGATTATCATAACATACCTCGTCGACCTTCCGGAGGATCGCCCGGAATCGGGTAGTTAACGCGTCCCGCTTCTTCGCAAGCAACGAATGTCCCGTCTGCGCACCTTTGAGACGCAGTTTGGTATTTGTAAGTGCCATACGGGTGGGGAAAATATTCTCTCTTGGGCCGGTACCAGACATTGTAAAATGCGAACACGAGAGAAGATACTCTATAGTCGAGCTGCATCATACCGTGCTGACTTCCTGCCCTATTCGCATCATATTCACACGCTCACGTGCCATCGCAGGAGATCCCGAAGCTTTAGATTTAGACTCCGTCTCAGCACTATCAAAGTCGGATAAAACAAAAAAAATGCCAGGACCGTGGATTGAACACGGGACCTCCAGAACACCACTCACGTAACTTCAGTCTGTTGCTCTCCCAGCTGAGCTATCCCGGCCTATACTCACTTGCTGTGTAAATGCTACTTAATGTAATTTAGTTAGTTTAGTTCTTCAATTTTAAAAAGATACCTTCGCCATCCAGTAATATCTAAATAATTAAACAATTAAACAATCGGAATATCCGAGTCCGGGTCTTGCCTAAGGCCAGCTTCACAATGCGAAATAAGCTACCTTCTAGCTGCTTACTCTTACATCCAAGCACATATCAATGACGACCAGATCTTTCATGCTTGCTTGATTTACCCACTCACACCGTAATCGGGCTCCAATAGGCCACAAAGATGCTTGTAGTTGCCAATGAGGCATATTTGCTAGATCGTACAACGGTAATCAGAAACACACCATTGGAGAATCGTGTCGCTACTGGTGCCACCTATGCAATGGTATATTTTCCATAGCTCTTTTCGGGATCGTATACCTATGGAGATTCCACAAGAGTCAGTCCCAGCAAGGGCCAACAACAGAATGAACCCACCTCCCACCGAGAGGCTGGAAATATATGTTTGTTCCGCTGATAGTAGCTTCGCTCCACTACCTTGCCCGCATGCGACTCATCCTTCTCAATTGAGGCATCAGCAAGAAGCCGCACATCATCATGTACGTCAAAATTAAACAAGGGTCCAGATTTGCCCCGCGCCTTGTTGACGATGAAGTCGTAAAAAGTGTAGTGCTGTATGCGATAGGCAGGGCTCGTGAATATCTTATGGAATCTTTCTCTTATAGAATCTTTCAATAGAGTGCACGTACGTGAGGAATTATCAAGTCCTCCTGGAAGCGATCAATCAGGCACTTGTACAATTCGCATACGGCAACGATCTCACCTTCACATACATCAGGTTATCAACGCTGATACCTCTGAGTTCGGGGAACTGTTGACGACATTTTTCAAGGAAGGTGGAAACGTCGTCGCCTTTCTTACACTATGCAATTATCGCAGACATCCCCATGTATGCATCTATGTGGTCATGGCCCAGTGCTAGTCACGACATTATCAGGGACTCACCTTTACACTCTTCCGATGTCCACTTCCATCCCAGTACGAATAGGTGATTTCAATGTCTTCTTGCTTCAATTCGTCTTGCTTCCTGAGCCACTCCTGCCTTAACTCCTCCCTCTGTCGCCGCTCAGCTTCTTCGCGCTCCCGATCAGGCAAAAACGACGTGTCAACATTGGGGTTTTTGCGCGATTTTGCACGCTTAGCCGGTTTCGCTTCACTGCTGATGTCATTGGGGTTTGAGCTGTTTCCGTCATTTCCCTCTTCGTCGTCTACAGCGAATGAGAGCGTCGACTTTGCCATCTTTTTCCGCTTCTTTATCTTCTTCTGCTCGTCTCTAAACACATTCTCCACAACCGGTAAGCAATTCGCATGGAGCTCGATCGAGGAAAATGGTTCGGCAGGAAACACGACATACTTTAGCTCATTCGTCCTGGCAGCCTCACGGGCCTTGGCTTCTTCCAACTCCTTCCTCCTCTGCTGAAAATCCTCCAGCTTTACGAGACCTACAGTACTCTTCTTCAAGGTATCTTCCACAGAGTCATTCTGCCCAACAAAGCGATTAGAGGACGGACGAGCCTTCTCTGTCTCATTGATCAATGTCTGCTTCTGGCGTTCAAACTCTTCGCGCATTTGACTTCGCTGTTTGGCCAATGCGTCTTCTCGACGCCCTTCGGCTTTGCTGGTCGACATGATGAAAAGATAGTCCCTTAGGTAAATGAGTGTTGAAGAGGTGATGTGGCTCAGAGTGAGAGTCAACACTCGACACGTCGGAGTTCTAAATCTGAGATTCAAAGAGAGAGCGGGTTGCTCCAGCGCTAGCGCGCCTACCTGTGGTCATCGACCAATTGGCATTATCACGACGGGTCGACATGGTACACATACTGGGGGTTCTACTACCAGATAAGCAGTTAGTAAAGGTGAGCTAGATTAATCTAGGCATTCGTGTTATCGTCTGACATACTCCGAGTTTGCCTTGACTCATTTCTACGGTATTGGACACAACACCGCTCACCGTCTATGTTCACGAGTTCAAATACACGATACCTGCCGGGTTCGAGACTTGACACCACACCAAGTGACGTCCCTCACAGCCTTCTTATCCTCGCCTGCTACGGCCCCCCCTTTACCTCGCTATACACTCGCCAACCCGGACTTTATACCGCTACGATTATCTCAGCCCATATCGGAGGAAACGCCCTACCTCAGCGGTACGGATGCGCCTATCCCTCTCAAGGAGTCCCTAGGCGATAAACTGCGAAGCATTAAAATCGAGTCGGAGTTACGAAGAGAAATTCGAGAAAACATAGCTCACCAGCGGATGATTGGTAGCTACGTTGGGAGGCGGCATGCGATGGGTCTACCCGTCAGAGGACAGAACACCCAGACAAATGCAAAGACTGCCAAGAAACTCAATAGAGTGGAGCGGTATGCGTGAGGATAATTGCGGATCCTACTATTTAGTGTCGCACGTGTGTTCCTGCTGCTTTTCATAGAATGTTTGTTACACGGTACTGGAACCAATGTTTTACAGGTCCAATCGGTACGCATATACAATCAACAGTGAGAGGCGCCATATAGATCACCATATTTAATGTCAAAAGCCAGTACCTAGTCATCGGCTACAGGAACTTCTTCTTCAAGGTACTTCAACAGTGTCACCCGGATCTCCGTAGTTTCATCTCCGCGCAGGACGTCTGATATGAATGTCGCCTGCACCTGCATCTGAATCTGATATACAGTAGTATCGTTGCACTGGACACGAATCGGAGAGAAATACCATTTCCAGTGCCCCTCTCAGCACACCGCATAAGACGTTGCTGAACCACAAGCCTCCTTCGAGGGCATCTTCGGGTAACTCAACAAACTCCACCAGTGGATTTTCATCCAAAGTAAGAGTGAATGACGACCCAACCGCATTGGACTGCGGCGCAGGAGTGCTAGTTCGTGATGAGGCAGCCGGTGGAGGTGCAGCATGAGTTACAATAGGGGTGATGTTCAGAAACGACTTGAAGCCAACCTAGGAGCATACATTGACATGAGTATTTGGGCTGGATAATTTGCGACGGAGGGACCTTGGCCACGACCTCCCCAACCTCTTTGAAGTCAGCACATCTTCCAATGGCACTGCGGGCCAAAAAATCTTCGATCAATCGGGTGCCAATATTATAACCCATCTTCTCCAGCTGTTTGTTGACCTCTGCAAAGTCCTCATAGTCCTGAATGAGCTGGATGACGAGCGCGCCATACGTTAACGCGAATAGCTCTGAATTCTAAGTCTTGAGTAAGTCAGGATGGTGGCGTAGGCCAGGCTGGCGGAAGGCAGTAACGGGGAACATACAATTTTCTCCGTTCGTCCTTTCCATATATCCTCACCGATAGCTTTATACTGTTTACTAGTGCTAGCCATTCCCAACTAGACACCAAAGTAGATACAAGCGTGGCAGAAGCGATTCGAGATGTGGTCAGTGCCAAGAAGGACACGCAACCGACATCCTGATCTAGTCATCGCATTATACCGGTGACCACTTATAGTACGTGATGCTCTACATATGAAGAATTTTCACGCTTGTTTGGTACTAATTGTTTGGTACTAATGCACGCAGTGACTCGTAGACTTTGTAGCGCATGAGAGGCAGGTCTGATCCTGAGCTCAAAACCGTCCTCATGGTTTCGTGGCGCGCACTCTGTCATGAGTTATGCCTTTATGTGCTCGAGAAGCCGCATTGCAACCTGGTTGTTAAGTCGCACTAGCCGATCTCATCCTGAAATGGGACCCGCATACGATACCACCGATGCGCCATGATGCTACGAGCTTATGGTTGAAACATATCACGACCGGGGGAATATGGTAGCAAGGGTTGTACTGCAAATGAGATGGGTGAACATCTAATCAACAGTCGGACGGGTTAAGCGACGACTTGCATCACCATGCCGGAGCTGCCTGGGAAGGCTATGCGAAGGACCATGGGCAAAGACGAGATCTTGTCTAGTAAAGGCGCCTGGTCATGCAATAAATGAATGAGAAGCATGACACACTTATCACCGCGCCCATCGTGGTCAAGACAGGCACGGTAGCTTGATGAGAGAAGAGGTGATAGATAGCGAGGACTTCGCTTCTACCAACGTGGTCATGTTTGAATTGTCCCGACTGTTCGGAAAGTTGCACACACATAATTCCGACATACGGTAAGTGCCAGATACGTCGGCGGCGGATGCGATGCCAACTTGACATATCGTGCGCAGCCGAGAAATGAATGCATCAAGCAGACGGCACAGGGAAGAGAACATTGTTGTGCAGATGCAGCTGAGAAGACTGCCGTAAAGATGGCGCGCGCGCTGAGGAGAAAGGCAAAAGGCAAACTAGGACCGTTCCCGAACCACAAGAAGCCGCAGCGAAGGGACCTGGGAGGGCTTCGGGGAATCAACGGGCGTGGTGTGGGATTTGCCGGGGTGAGTCGTGCCAGGGCATGGTGAAGAGGAGGAGGAGAAGAGAGCGAGAGGCGGGCGGTGGCTGCTATCTACGGTATTTGCGCGTGTTGATGGGAGTTAGATAAGCGGAGGCTGCAATTCTTCAGAGCGTCTGCACGTTTCGCCTTGCGGTCGGATGCTCTTGCCTGTGCAGGCCTCGACCGTTCATCTCGTCCCAGTCGCCTCGCGCTCGAGCTTGCCTGCTGCTCATCGCGTCCTCCGTCACAATCGACCGCCTAAAATAATCCGCCTGAAGCCCTGCGCGTAGATCCTCCCTTCTATCTTCTCCTGCAGTGCCATCCTCCCCGTCGCGTTCGTGCACTTGTTGCAACGCACGATCCTCCCGATACCCTTCGCACCTGCCTTCTTTCGGTAAGCACTTTGCCATATTCTCCTCGTCAAACTCATGTTGGAATCCCCCACACATTCGTCGTCCGTAGTAGGTCTATCCTTCAAGCCGTTTGTGCTGAATAATTGTCTCCGCTAGAACCATACGTATACCGTCAGCTGCTGTTGTCGGGCGGGCATCATAGCAGTGGCTGTCATTCGTCGCGCGCGCCCGAATGGCTTCTCCCCAAGATGTCTTGCCCCCTCCTCCTGCCGCCGTTGACTCTCAGCACTTTCAGCACTTTCCAACTAGCGAGGGACTACCCACGTTCAGTCCCCTCGTCCCTTCTTCACACAGTGTTGACCCCTCGCTTCCACCCAGCTCTGCTCCGCATGTCCGTTCACTCATTCCTTCGCTGTTCCAGTCCGAGGTCGACCATGCTCATGCTGTTCCAGTTGCCATGCAGTTATCTCTCACCTCCCTTCCCACATCTGGTGCTGATATGGCAGCCATGGATGTTGTTTCTGCTGTGACTGTTGACTCAGCCACTACACAAGGACTCGTTCCCAGTTACACCCAACAAAGTAATTCATTCAGCATGGATTATCGTGTCAATGGCCTTGAAGGTCTAGACACTCACCATCAGATTGCTTCTTCTCCTAGTGCGAACACAGTCTCGTCCAATCCATCACATGCCTCCTCCCCTGCTGCCAACGGTGTAACATCATCATATTCTGTCACGTCGTCTTTGGCCTCCGCTCTTGATTGTAATGTCTCCCGTAGTCGCTCTGGCTCATCTGCATCACCACCACACCTCTTGAGTTCTGCTTCCGATCTGACGTTTTCATCCGGAAGCAGTGTTCCTCCGACGTCGATCCACGACGCCGGTTTTCAATATCCTTTGACCGTTGATAATGCCCAATCGGTAAAGGAAAACTCACCCGAACAGCCTGGCAGCGCACATTTAATGGTTCTGGGAGACATGCTAAAGAAGTGAGTTCAGATCTTTCGTAGGTTTCATCATCATTTATGGTCCGAAACTTCATTAGTATTGCTCGTCAAGCCAACTCCGGTAGCCAAGCTTGCGATATGGGATCCACCACGCATGCACAACAGATCGTAGATGTCCTTAAGAAGAACGTTCTTCTGGTCGCGGACCTCGTGGCTGCCTTACAATTGGCAGATGGGCCCACATCCTCCTCTCATTCCTCCCCGCACTCGAATGCGTCCGCTCCTGGTGGCAATGGTGTATTACCTGCGCCTCCGCCTGCTGGGCAGCAGAACCATATAAATGGCCTTGCTTCTTATGCGTCATCTGCCAATCCTCTGGATCCTAGTGGAATGGCCGACGCGTCAGATTCGTCTCGCAAGCGGTGTGCGTCTGCCATAGATGGTGACAGAGCATTAAAGTCGATGAAGCTCGAGCCTCAGGATGATACTCCTCCATTACAAATGCCACCCGCATCAGCTATCCCACTTTCGGGATCTCTTCTGTCACAATCTGGATTTTCCTTCGCCTCTCCAATGTCATCGATACCAGGTGCACTGTCCTCTATGAATGACATTGCACCGATACCTTCATCTCTCCCTCTAGCCAGCTCTAGTTCGCGCCCACAAAGCTCTGCCGGTCTCACTCACCATCCCCTTGGTATTATGTCCGAGGCGCACCAATCCACACATTCCCTTCAATCTGCGCTCCATTATTCGGTTCTAGACCACGCGCATCCACCTTCAGACTTCACCTCACCTCCTGCTTCATCCGGCGGGTTAGCGACTACCCTTCCATCTGTCGGTTTCAATCCTTCGCTACCAAGTAATATGTGGGCGGAGGGGCCCGCCCCAGTCGTGCGCCATCATCAGCATTCACTCTCTGCTGGATCAGTACTACCGGGTATACCCGAATCGATTTCGGGACCATCGTCGTTACAGTATCCTCCGTCCATTTTCAATGCGCCCAGTATGGTGGCCCATCTCCAGCAGTCATCGACGCCGATCGCGGGCTCCTCGCCTGCGAATGTGCCACCGCTTCCCGCGGTGCGCTCTTCGCGCTCGTCTTCCTTCGCGCTCGGGCAGGGCGAGATTCATCCTCTAGTTAATTCGTATGATATGATATTGTCACGGACGTCAGGGATGCCTAGTCGTCCATCATCTCCAGAGTTTGAGGATGAGATGGACATGGGGCATGACTCTGACGAATATGATAGTGGACCGTCACCAGCAATGCACCAATCCTCGCCTGGAGCCGACACAATGGAATGTAGGACCGATGGGGAGGCGGGGTCGGCGGCAATGTCGCCGTCTGGCCAGCGAAGACTGAGCCGTGGATCGCCTTCTGCCGATGGAGGATCGACGTCCTCGGGGCACGGAAACGAGGTCCCACAGGAGTATCGAGCCGAGGTGGAGCGTATATTTTTCGAGTTCCTTAACAGTATTTGCTCCAATCGTAAGCGTTGCTCCATAGCCTCGTGATTGATTTTGACTGATCGGACCTTGTACCCTAGTCGACGCAAAAGATGCAAAAGGCGAACCGATACATCAGACATTGATGGCCAAAAAGATGCAGCGATTAGACGAGTCGCCAGACTTTCGGCCGTTCAAGTTCCGTATACAGGCATTCACCAATGCATTCTTAGAGGAGGTACGAGTTGATCTAATTGTATTCGGCACCGCGCGGATGATTGTTCGTACATCCGTAGCTTGCTCGGCAAGGTTACCCCGAAGAGAAGATACCCATGAAAAAGGCGAGTGTTGCTCCACTCGGTCGAGTCCGGTCTGCTGATATTTAATACCCGTAGATTCGCAATTTTCTTTGGAACCAGCCCTATATCTCCCGGTTCAACGAAGACGGGAAGAAGTCAAAATCAAAAGGCAATCACATCTGGCATGTTGATGCCAAAAAATCAGACGGCGGCTGGATGTTTCGCCCATTCCGCCGCAAACTGGCTGGAACACCCCCAGGAGTTGCTTATGTTGGACTTCGTTGGTCTTGGACACCTCGTATCTGGGATCCCCAAGCGTCGCGGTCGAATATGCCTGTGCAGTACAGTTCTCCATCGCTACCCCTTTGGTTGTCCTGGAAGGACGACATCATATCTGGAATACCGACTCCTGACGCTCAGAGCTGCGATGTTACAGTGGAAGCCAGGGTTGGTATTTCTCTATACACTCATGTATCTCTCTCTCATATTCGAGTCATCAGTTTATTCAAGATGGTAAAGAGGAGCTCCTCTCTCACACCGTGCATATAACGATAGCACCAATGGCTTCCGTGGATTCTACATTCACTCCCTCGCGACGGCCGTCATTGGTTGGTGATATCCATAATCCGCGACGGGTATTGAGTGACCCAATGGTGACACAAGCGCCACCACCTCGGTCAGTCTCGTTGAAATTTTACCTTCCTTAAACATTGACGTGCGTCCTAGCCTCCTACGCACGCAATCTGCTCTCGCCCCTACTGCGCCTGTGGCGGCGCCAGACTCCCAGGTGGTGCAGGTGCTTACTACTGCCGCTCAGAGAGTGGCCCAGGAGGCGCAGTCTCAAGTAGTGGCGTCTCCAAATGATGCCGGTCCCGGGCTACAAGCTTTGGCCAAACAGCAGCATGTTCTCACTGTGACTGCGCAGGCCTTCAACTCAAAGATGTCTAGAGAACATCCAGACGGCTCTGACACGCAGTCCAATGCTTTGACAGCAGCCGCCCAGCAAGTCGTGCTGCAAGCTGCGCGTCAGGTCGCTGCAGATCGTACAGTGGTAGCGTCGTCGGGTATATCTACGGTCTCATCGGTCCCGACACCAGTCACAGTCAAGGACGTATCTGTTGCTACTCAATCTGCGGTAGCGCAAGCCGTTGACATGGTTGGCCCCCTCTCTAGCGAGGTCGATGTCCTCATGACAGCGAGTTCATTACTTCAGCAACAGACCCGGACGCCTTTACCCCCGAGTTCTGTTATGGACTCGGCGCTCGCGGCTGCAGAACCCGTGCGACAAATCGCGGGAACACCTCCAACCCAGTATGTGACGCCCTCCATCATCTCTACCGTTCCGATTTTTTATACTTCGTCATGACTTCGCCCGGTTCTCTTGGGATTCGCTTGCTAGTACATTATTATGTCATAGACGTTCCTCTCTTTGATTTACGATACTTCTTTTCATTGGCACGTTGATATCTGGCATTGTGTATGAAGTAGTGGCTGCTCTCGTTGCTCTGGCATTGTACTTATTAAATGTGTATGTAAGCGATTCCAGTCATTTCGTTGATATTATCCAAAATCCCCCATTGCAAAGGACAACTCTGTTCACAAGGAAGACTCGCACATGGCACATACCAGTGCTTCAGAGTCATTATCAAAGGTACATGTACTACAGGATTTCAAAGTGGTCGCTTGACGCAGTTCATGGTCAGAAGTAGGTTCCGCAATATCATTGGTTGCCAGACCGCCGAGTAAAGTTCCTCCAAAACCTAGACCTTCACGTCTCTTCTTATTGCCATGGTCATCGTCCGAGTCAGAAAGTAAATTGATCTCTTCATGTTGCTCCCGAAGGTCCAACACGTCGTTGGATAATATTCCGATGGATGAGACAGACAGAGAACTACCATCCAGCTCCTGGCCTCGATAAAACAATTGTTGCGATATGACAGGAATGTTAAGTTCTTCCTGAATCTGTAGGCCGAATCAATTAACTGTAAGAATGTGGCTGTAGCGTGCGCGTACCAAGACCTTAATGTCTTTGACTGTCATCATCCTCGTGATTGTGATTCTTCGTCGTCTAATCGGATTCTTGCCTAACCTTATACGATTAGATTGTCGGAGTCCACCGGCTTTGCGTGATCCATAAGTCATTGCAATAGGTGGGTCCAAACGTTTCACCTGCTGGTTTGACTCCTCAGAATAGCTTTTTACCGTTGGTATTGGGTCGTTTGCACCGAGAACACGAACAATAACTTCGGCAACCTCATAATCCAATTTTCTGCCAACATATGAAAAATCTATTCAAGTGCGAGGATCATCACTCACCTCTTCTGACAACATTCATCGCACACAGCCACCTCAGATCGCATCTGGGTACCGTCATTTTCGACAGCTACTAAAGGACCAGCTGAATAGCTAATTGAGAATCTCAGCAGATATGTGGGGAGGCTTAAAGTGAAAGGTCCTACATTTTTTCGAGTATATCCCAATCAGCCCGCTCGATAATGGCGATTGAGGCCTCGATATCAAACGCCGTGTTCGGATCTATGCATAGTAGGCCATGCTCACAGATGAATTCAGAGTTATCGATAGCCTGAGGGCGAGATATTTCTCCTGGCCGCTGTAACCATTGCCTCCACGAGCGAACAAATTCAGCCGGAACTATAGCGCATGGGATATTTTTAAGCAGTGCAGTGTTTCCATGCAAAGTATCATCATGCATTCGCTTGAGTTTAGCCTGTTCGATGAATTTATCTAGCATATATAGGTCCAAGACTGAATTGCCCGCACCTTCTCCTCTTCTGCTTGTTTGCGCACTTCACGCTTATCTTCTTTGGAGATCTGTGCCAAAGCTTCACATACGGGACACAGCTCACAATCCGCTGACAAAGCCTGCCAACCGGGAAAGATTTCCTGCAGAAAGAGACAAGCCTTTCCGGGGCTCAGTATCATACAAATCAGAGAAGAAAAAATGCGCACTTCAGTTGAAATGCGTCGGCGAGCAGCTGCATTAGCTGAAAGTCCACCATGTTCGCATCGAACGTGGCGATTAAATTCTTGACTATCAGGTGAGGGATCATCTCGACACGCAACATGCATCTTGGGTTTCGCTAGCCTCCAATCTAGACCCAAGTGAGACACTGTAGGCAACCAAATGATTGCACTTTACCTTTAAGCCATTGCTTTGAGATCCAAAAGCCTGGCTCATTGTCATGAACCAGATATATCTCGTCGAAATGGGCGACTGATTGTGGATGCTCAATTTGATATAATCGCTCTGCAACACCACATGAATAAGGTCACTTCAGCGCGCACTGCGATGGACCATACCATGGAATGCTTCCTGAACACAGGCTGCACATACGTCCAAAGGGGTTAGCTTGGGAAGTAATTCAACTCCATCTTCTGATGATATGCGCTCGTAAGCTACCTGAAATTGTCTCAGGTGTTGCCGAACTCCGCCTCCACAATGCGCACCTTTGTGATGACCTTCATTTCGTTTGCTTTAGTCGGATCCAACCGTCCGTGTGCGCACACGATCGCCTGTGCAGGCTCAATGTCTCCTCATTTGCAATGTGACATGTTAGCTAGTGGCACTGGAGAGGACGGCATATCATTGTACCTTCCTTAGCTGCCATAGAATCGGCATCAATACTATTCGGACCTTGCGATCCTTCTGCAGGTAATACCGTTCGCCGTTTAGTCTCAGACAGATAGCGCAACATCCAAGATTCAAGCTCCCTTCGGGAAACTACCACAGATTCCTATAATGGGTGATAGTATGAGCAGAATAGGTATATCGGACATCGCAACAAACCATTTCCCGCGTTGCTACGCTCCATGTCCGATAAATACTCATAATCCTGGACCTTGTCCTGCTGAAGTTAAGATTTGCTTTGCTCTCCCTAAAGTGAAGGATAAGTAGATTGTAACCATTGCTATGACCCTGCTCACTTCTCAATATAAGCATTGCATGCTACCTCATGGCCGTCATTTAGAACTTTCACTGCCTGTCGTGCAGCAGCTGGTGGCTCTATTGCAGGCAAGTGGGTCCCCAGCTGATAATCTAACATGTCGTGGAGACAATCATTTTTTTGCTGGTGCTGCCAGAGCAAAGAACGTTCGTACTCACTTGAGTTGTCTGCGCGAGCATATACCAGCATATATGCATCTCTTGAAGAAATATATCTAGGACTGGAATCCTCAGTAACAGCATATGGACTCGTCAGATCAAAGAAATTGTACCCGAGTGCTGATGAGGGTGTCTTCTCATAATCTTTAGGAGATGGTCGCGATCTAGTAAAAATCAGTGGGACTGAACCGTGCAATGCTACTCAACGCACCCAATGATCTCGGTTTCACTATCACTGTCGTCCACCCTTCGTCGTTTCCTCGAGTTACTATGTTGTTTGACTGTGTTCTCTTTGCTGTAGATGAATTAGTGGATTCAATTTCTCCCATTCCTGAATGTCTATAACTGTACCTTTTATTCTTTTGTTCCGACGACATGCTGCCCCCAAGCTGTCCGAGAACATCAAAAGCTGAAGGGTCCAACTTTGTGACCGTCTCATCATTGTACTGGTACCATGCACCATTTCTTTGATAACATTCAGAATTTAAACACTTTCGGATGCAATAATTATCACCTCATATCGAAAACCTGAGCTTCATAATGACCATGATACGCACTAGCGCCCTTGTGAAGTAAGACACCACGCAGTTCGTAGAGATTCTTACGCTTTTCGTCAATATCTTCGCCGGCGCATCCGCGAGATTCAAGGGATCCAAGAAAACGATCCATATCAACGATAGTTGGGAATGACATGGTATGTTTGCTTTTCTTGCGCTCCATTGACGACAAGTCGTAGACAAACCGCAGCAAAGAGAAATGCAGCACTGGAGGTAAGTCACGCAATTCGGTGTACCTCTTAGCATCCTGAAGACTATCACATTGTGGGCAGAGGTACCTAAAACCGATAGCTATGATCTAGCCATTCCAGAACGATGGTGACGCAACTTACTTATTATCACCAGTCAATATTTCTGGCTCGAGTGCGGCAGAAATGCGATCTTCTAAGGTGGCGTGGTTCTGTGATCAGATATGTTGGAATTCAGCAAAAATAGATGGCCATTAGCTGAATGACCTTAATGTTGACTTCAATCTCTAAGAAATCAGCCAGTCTCTCAGAGCGGTGTTGGCAGCGCTCGCAAATAGTGCCATACACTTGCTTTCCTTGGAACTACTGTTTGTAAACATTAAGTGCAAACAGTCAGCGAGGAGTAATGATCACCTGGTCAGCAATCAATGTTTTCAGAGTTGGATCTTGCTGCTTGCGAAATTCAGCATCCAGATGAGCCATAAATAATTTCGAGAATCTTTAACCAGCTTTGAGTCATACTAGCAACACCAGAGCATAATTGGCGTACTCCTGCGCATCTTGTTGCTCCGAAGTTCTCAACTTAAGACTTTCCACAAGCCTGATGGGATTAAAGGAGCTTTGCGTGCACTCTTGCATCGCCGCAAATGTAACTTGCAATTGAAAGATAGGATGTGCCTATAATACAAATGCAGCGGATACTTTTGTTATATGGCATACAGACCAACCTCCTGTTTGAGACCCTGGGGGAGCTGACACTTATACACGCCGTTTCGGAACGCTAAATCTTGGAACCAAACCTACAGAAGTCAGTCAGAAAGGTTGATGTCTTGTCTTAGAGATAACTTGCTTGTAAGTATGCATTAGCATAGCATGTGGCCCCTAAGTTCTGTGGTGCGCCATCGCCATTCATTGAGTATTCGCGCAATGTTCACCTCACTGAAGACACACTTTGAGACCGATAGGGTGTCCAGGCTTTCTCGAACGGACAAGAGGGCTCTCGCCTAAATCTGACGCCTTCAGAAAAGCTTTTCGAGCCTTTTCTGCACGGACAGTCAGCTCGGATCTTAATTCTACTACGTTGTGCCCACCTTCGTCTTCCCACTTATCCTGACCCAGGTAGTTGAGACAGTATGGATTACTCCTACAGCCCTTACCGCTACATGTGGGTCGTTCATCGTCCGAGATAATAATCGCGTCATCCTCCAACTCGCCGGAAGCACGAAGTTCTGCGGTTGGTGCCTCAGTAGGCGCATGAAGCACATATTTGGTCGGACATAAGGAATGCATGTTGCGCTCGGAGAAACCACATGTTGCCATTAGATGGTCTTGAGAGATATCCGACGCACTGAGCACTTCGGTACCCACCCAGTCCCAAGCTGAAAGAGAACTGGTCCTTACAAGCTTGGTCCGTTTGAGCCTTTCACCCACATTTAAGCCGACCTGAGTAGGAGAACGGCGACGGGTCCGTTTGGGAGGCATTGCAAACACCAGAAGGAGACAGTACCGAGAGTGAGGGCCTCGTTGGCCGGACGGCGTCGCGGAAATGATCAGTGATGGGCTGGTGGCGACGCGACTGAGCGGATGTTACCGTACTGTGCTTGCCTCGATCACTTGCCTCAGCAAGCGGCACCTTTGCTTAGTCCTACAAGACCGACATGTCTCGTCCTGAACTCCAGGCACCCCCGGAAATTGCATGAATTAATTTTTTTCTTGAGCCTATCCTCGCCAGTCTAACATTCGCTTTGTACAGTATTATGGCGATGCAGAGGCCGGAAAATACACGAACAAGTTTGTCCAAAAGATTTAACACTATGGCATCACTATCTCATCTCGCCTTAGCTCTCGTATTCAGCGGATACAAGCCGACATGACTTATCGAGCTCTAGAGCTCCTAAATCTCCCTCCGGATCAACCCGCTTTACTCCTTGACATTGGATGCGGTTCAGGATTGTCCGGTGAAATCCTCGATGAACAGGGTCATTTGTGGGTCGGTGTGGATGTCGCTCCGAGTATGCTTGGTATGTATAGATGCCTATACCCCCAATTATCTCACAGATCGATTTGTATAGAGGTCGCGCTTGAACGCGAAGTTGAGGGCGATCTATTTTTGCAGGATATTGGCCAGGGCTTCGGCTTCCGTCCAGGAAGTTTCGATGGTGCTATCAGGTATGTTCGTGACCAACGTGTATACGCATATGACAAATGATTCTCGCAGCATCTCTGTAATTCAGTGGCTTCTCAACGCAGAGACGTCACATCCCACTTCTTCTCCGCCGCATCGCCTCACTCGCTTTTTTACCACATTACACGCATCATTGCGAAATCCTTCCCGCGCAGTGTTCCAATTTTATCCCACATCTGACGACCAAATACAATTGATTACCTCCATAGCTCAAAAAGCTGGATTCGGCGGTGGCATTGTCGTTGATTATCCTAACTCAAACAAGGCCAAGAAAGTCTTCTTATGTCTTTTCGTTGGTGGGGGAGGTGGAGCGCAGCAAATGCCCGAGGGCCTCGAGGCAGGTGAAGAAGATGGATCGCGAGTGAGATTTGAAACGGCGAGAGAAAGGCTGCGCCAAAGGGGAAAGGGCAAAAAGTTGAAGAGTATCAAGGATAAAGATTGGATTCTGAGGAAGAAAGAGGTGCGCAGAAGTACTCTTTTGCGAGCTCAACTCATTAAGTTCCGTTAGTTATACCGACGGAGAGGAAAAGAAGGCGTTCCTAGTGATTCAAAATATACTGGCAGAAGACGGAAAGCTGTATTTTGAGTGCCCCACTGTACCTTTTGTCCAAACGCCATTTGGATGCCTGCCTTGTGATGTTGATTCTGCCATCTATGAAATCAGATACAAACTGAACATTTTGGGATATGGTGGCAAGAAAAAGGGCTGACTTGCATTATTGAAGCCTGCCCTCTATTAATTGAGAGAAAAAATCCTACTTTGGCAGTCTTGCGATCAGCCGCGTGGGACGGGCACATTCCAATATTAATGGGTCGTATTGCCTCGGTGGGAAGACTAATCAGCTGCCATTTTTTCTCAATACTGTATAAATTGTCGACCAAGTTTTCAAGTTGTAGTCCCAAACGTACCACAGACTTACCGCCATCGCTGAATCAGACAGTGATTCATCACTTCGGTGCGTCAACTATGGTGACCATTGGTGCAACTTCAGGCAATGAGTTGGATCTAGAGCCCACTCAACATGCCAGCAGTAGGTACCTCTATTATCTAAGGCCGCCTCTGTCACCTCGGGCACTGTATTCAAAAGATTTAGTTGAAGGCTCGCTTTTTTCACGAATGATGCTATCCAGTGTACAGTTTGAGAAATTCAAAGTAGGTCTAACCGTATGCCTTCACTGTTCTGACAGGAAGTTCAATACAATGTCTGGCCAGCTGACCTGCACTCGTTCTGCTCAAACGTTTCTTGATTGCACGAAGACTCTCGCAATGCAGAGCGATGAAGGTATACAGAAATACGTAGATAATGTGAGTTGTATCGAGCACCATCTCACGTTCCATAATTACGAATTTTGATTGATATATTCCATGCGACGTAGGTAATTAGAAAGTGGACGCATGCCAATCGTTACGAAGGTCATTGGCCGATCTTGCTCTTTGCGAAGATTTACCTTTTGAGAAGAAGAAATGGTGTACTTGCGAAGGAGCGCATAGGGGGGCGCGCTCCAATGAAGGTAAGTGCATGGAATATACGGCGATGACTTAATATCTACATACCCTTTGGGTGATTGATAGAGAGGCCGCCCGCGAAAGAACTTCCCATACGAAAACAAACCAGTGAGATCGAACGTCATTAGAGCGAGCGTAGCACGGGTGTCATCCATCACATCCCGGTACATCGGACAGCCCCCAGAGGATTTGGCTACGAGGGTATGTCAGAATTACTTCCGTATTGTCCGAATTATATATTCAGGTGTTGAACGTTGAAAGCAAACTATCTTGCGGACCAAGCCCCCCAAAAAACTGCCCAGCGGATCCACTTCCATCACTGCTTCCAGTTCGCCCCATAAAATACGCTCGGGGCTGCGTTCTGGATCGAAATCCGGTCATATGGAATCCCTGCACACATTCCTATCATCTCTCGACCTTCCCGCAGAAGATTTGATGTTCAAATTCAGGGATGCTGGGATTACCGATGACCAGCGATTAATGCTCTTGGCCAGGCTTCCAGATCGCCATGGCTGGATGACAGATAACATTCCTCTCTCCCGCTTTGACCTCAAAATTGTCGATGACGGTCTCGCGAATCTCGTGCAAGGCAATAGATAGGCATAGTATTTGCCTCCTCGGTTCGTTCATTGTTAATTCACACATCGCAGGTTGTGAGCCAAATGATGAACCTTTTATTGAACACGGTGAAGGATAATTGTAAACGCATTACGTATTTTTGTAAGATATTTGTACGTTGCAGCCTGTAGCTTCGGCATTTCAACGGCAAGACTAGCAAGAGACTGAATCCGATGAATATATATGTTTACTTTCGCACCTGGTTTCACGAAGACAGCTTGTGCACCTTAACGATAAATTTATCTCAGAGCGCCCCAGATTGACTGGTAGATATCATGAGTTAGATTGGCGGATATAACGAACTGTGATGGAATGTATATTCGAGACACTACTGGAACAGATATCTGAAGACAAAATGATAGTGGTAGCAGTAGGACAGTACGGTACTGAGTTACAAGTCGTCGTCTTCTTCCGGGAGGGGGACAGCCTCAGCCTGAGCAAGAACAAAATATGATGTCATCATGTGCGCCTAGCGGAAACACTACCAGCCATACCTGAGCCAACTCCTTCTGGTACTGCTCCATAAGAGCCGCGTCAACCTGCACCTCAGCGGGTGCAAGAGCGGGCGCTGCGACAAACTCTAGTGAAGGGTTGCTGTATAGAACGTTATGGGTCGATGATTGCAACAGGAACCCGGAGTAAAACTCACCCAACAAGCTTCCTCGCAAGCCACAAGAAGGGTTTCTCAAAATTGTAGTTAGATTTCGCAGATATTTCAAAGTATTGGATGTTCTTCTTTCGGTGGAAGGTAACCTGACCGGTTTTGACCTTCCGCTCCTAGTCTCAATGTTAACAGAGAAATAAGGCGCCACACGTACAATCATGACCGTACCTTCACGTCAACTTTGTTACCGCAAAGCACAATCGGAATGTTCTCACAGACACGCTCGAGATCACGGTGCCAGTTGGGCACGTTCTTGTATGTGATCCGAGATGTAACGTCGAACATGATGATTCCGCATTGGCCCTGAATATAGTACCCGTCCCGAAGCCCACCAAACTTCTCTTGTCCAGCCGTATCCCAAACATTGAAGCAAATCGTGCCGAAGTTGGTAGAGAAGGAGAGGGGGTGCACCTCGACACCAAGTGTAGCTGAGTAATGTGTTCACGACAGGAAAAGATTGAAATTCTTGCTTGGAAACTCAGCACGATGGGCACACACCGATATATTTCTTCTCAAATTCACCCGTCAAGTGGCGCTGCATAAGAAAAGAAAATCAGTTGGTGATCACACTTGACAGAGCGAGATGCTGCTAACCTTGACAAAGGTGGTTTTGCCAGTTCCACCGTCACCGACTGAATGCCATCATACCATATCAACGGCCAGCATGGTTTGTGTAGGTTGTGTGCCACAAAACGCGCAGAGACGAGGCAACATACATGCATCGATCAGGAAAAATGAAGTAGGGACAACTGCGAGTCAGACAAAGCGAGCTGATTGCGGAATATAAGACGATCGCACCGAGGACGAGCTTGAAGGTCGGAATCGTTGACGGATCGGCCATTATGTACTTTTGTGAAGACAAATGGGAGGATGGTGAGGATGAGTGAAAGAAAGAGGCAGGTTTGTGGTCCTGAGCGAAAACGCGCTGAAAGAACTTGGCCGAAATTAGATAAGGAAAGCTTACGTAACACAAGTCTTTGCATCTCGATCTTTCAAGTCGCTCAACTGCTGTGGCTTCTCGATATTTGATAGTTTGTCCCTTTCGGTGCTTGGAGGAACAGCAGTTCAGGTCTGTGTGCATCAGGTTCAGCTTTTTAGAGCTTCTTGACACGGCATACTACCATCTGGTGTCCCATGTCCGTACCGACAATTGACAGTGACACAGCAAGAGGTTGGTACTTCGATTAGTAGTGCGAATACTATGTATGTGTCGATTGCAAATATCGGTTCGCATCGACAAACACAAAACACGGATGTATATAAATCAACGATGCAACGATGCCGATCCTGGTAGAATTGGATTGCCTCCATGGGAAATAAATCTTGGCCATACTCTTGACGGACATATAGTGCATCGACAATGGCTGGTCCAGATATAATCCAACACAGGATATAAGTCTCCAGGTTTTACGGCTCGTAACATCAGGAGGCTGCATAACAACTTGAGCCCCGAGGTAGAGAACTCGTTTCCGCAAGGGTAACTGGCTCAATTTATCAAGTTTTCAGAATATGGAAATTGACTGTACCTTTCTAGGATGCGCGAATGTCAGTCACACCATATTCAGTAGACTGGATTAGCAATTTTAAGGTATCCCACCGTCAACCTTGGCCTGAAGTCGTAGTATCATAGCGTCGGAAACTTGAAGGGTGTTGATGATCAGGAACTTACATCATTTCAATGCTGATTGTTGAGCACCCAGTATGCGCGATACTTATTCGCTTTGGGATCCAGACTTCACGGCGTCTGTCACGACATAGTTTGCATTTTGCCAGTTTTGCCGCTCAGCCGCAAGGTTGACTCGAGCGATAGACACATCTCGGAATGATGACAGGGAGGCCGATCATATTTCAACACTGATCAATCAACGGCTTGATTACGTAAAATTGTGTACGAAGCTCCCTGCAGGTCTCCGATACCATCGCACTGAGCGCCGGGCCAAGTATAGTTCACTTTAGCCGTTCATAAGTGTATCTGGCCAGCCCCCATTCCCATTGTGCTTAGCCCGAGTCACTGCAGCCCAGGTATCTTAGGACGTCTGCACTCCGGTATGTAACTCGGACACCCCTAGCCTATTGAGGTGATCATGAGATCCGAAAAACCGTGGGAGTGAGTTGTCTCGGCACGGCCGCTGACGGAAGCGGCATCTCGGCAGTGAGTGCTTACTGCGTGTGTGGGACCTTGGCTTACAACTCTCCAGAATATATCATGCCAGGCAATGCACGCGTACTGTCTGTCCCCTTCCGCCCTCCAGTCCACCCAGGCGTATTTCCGAGGCTTCAGCCCCTGGCTCGTGATCCCCTTCGACGGTTCACCATCCATCCGTGACATACCATGGAGAAAGCGGATACTCCGAGCGACCTGCCCCCGAAGTCAGAGACGGAGCTCAAGCAAGACAAGTCTTGGAGAAATGAGAAGCAGGTTCTCCCCGAGAACAGGCTTGGTATCGTCTTTTTTGGTTTGATGGCTTCCGTTTTCCTGTCCGCACTGGACCAGGTGTGTTGCGTGTATTTTTGCTGGTAAAAGCTATTTAGCTCAACAAATTCCAGACCATTGTCTCGACTGCATTGCCAACTATCGTCGAGAAGATAGGTGGAGGTAAAGACTACGGTTGGGTTGGAAGGTAGATCCGGCGTCTCCTCCCGCTACTCCGCTGCTAAGCGTCGTACAGTGCCTATTTGCTAGCCGCAGCTGCACTGTCCACAATTTACGGGAAACTATCGGATATTCTAGGTACACCACATATTTCCGCATTCTACTTATTCTTACGACCTTTCCACAGGTCGAAAGCCAGTCCTTTTTGGCTCCATCCTTATTTTTCTGGTGAGTGCATTTCCTCTTATTGCGTGCTGAAGGCTCAATCCCTCTCAGATTGGCTCAGCACTTTGCGGTGCCGCTCAGAATATGACATGGCTTGTCGTATGTAGAGCTGTGCAAGGTATTGGAGGCGGCGGTATCATGCAACTTGTTCAAATCACGATATCGGACATCGTATCACTGGAAGAGTAAGTCCGATCGCGAAGATCTACTGCCTTGAGCTAAGAGGCGTTCAGTCGAGGAAAATACGCCGGTCTTCTCGGTGCTACATGGGGTGTTGCTAGGTAAATTAAGATCTGCCTCAGCTGTAGAGGTGATCACTGATATCACTATTCCAGTGTCATTGGACCACTACTGGGCGGAGTTCGCGCTCGTTTATCAATCCTGATGCGCATGGTGGCTGACCATTTGTGTAGGTATTTGCTGAACATGTCTCGTGGAGATGGTTTGTTATGTGCCTTTTTCTGTTGTGAATCTGGTGCTGACTACTCATTCTAGGTGTTTCTTCATTAATCTGTGCGTTATCTCCATCTATATACTGTGCTTGTTCTGACGTCGGATAGCCCCACTGGAGGACTTGCGTTCGCTGTTCTTTACATGTTCTTGAACCTCAATCCGCATCAGGGCAAGACCTTCCGAGAACATATTAGTGTCTTCGATTTCGCGGGTCTCGCCCTCATTATGGGTGGCGTTGTTTGTCTCCTGATTGGCTTCAACTTCAGCGAGACATCCTGTGAGTTTGGATACCATTTCCGGTACGCATGCTTACACCGGTTCTGAAGGGAGCTCGGCGGCAACTATTGCACCTCTGGTCATTGGATTTGTACTGCTGATACTCGCTGCTGTGAACGAATTATTTACATCGCGGTCACCGATTGTACCGCCGCGTCTTTTCAAAGTAAGTTTACTCGCACCCGCTATGTGACCGCAGATGATTGATGGCAAATCACAGGTACGAACGACCGGGTTTATTCTGATATCCGTCTTCCTCCACGCAATTGGGTTCTTCAGCGGGACATTCTACTTGCCTGTTTACTATCAAGTTCTCGGGGCCTCTGCTACCATGTCTGGCGTCAAGTATGTGAGGACATGCTAACATCACGCAAAACTTACTTACATTCATCATCAAGGATGCTACCTTATTCCCTTGGCTCAGCTATCATCTCAGTTTTTTCGGGTCAAGTTGTAGCGCGTACCGGTAGCTGGCGACCGCTCATGTGGTTTGGTTGGGCCCTATTCACCCTTGGATTTGGTCTTATGACTATGCTGAGCGATACCTCTTCGACGTAGGTCCTTTTTCGGAAGTTGGCCACAGAGAATGCCTCTTAACTCGACTCTTTCTCGTATAGTGCTATCAAGGAAGTGTATCCGTTGATTGCCGCACTAGGATTTGGCTGTCTTTTCCAGGTTTGTCATCTCAGTTACGCCGGGTCATATAGGTTATCGACTGAGTCTACCAAAGGTGCCTCTCATCGGCCTCCAGGCAGCAATGCCCTTAAAAGACATGGCAACTAGCACATCGACATTCGGTTTCCTCAGGTATGTGTATCTTAATGGAGTGTCATTTGTCCTCATTGATGTTGCATAGATTACTAGGAGGATCCATTGGTGTTACTATAAGCGACGCCATTCTCTCTGGAGTACGTGGTATAATACTAACAGATTGGTCGATACTCATATGTCACAATAGATACTCGAAACGAAAGTCAAGGATATTCCTGACTTGACTATTAACACTTCCGCGGCCAACTTGAACCAAATTGTTCCGCAGATCCAGTATATTCCTGTAAGCAGCCAATGTGCTGTGCCGATTCTGTATTGGCTGATATCTGAAACAGAATGTTGCCCAACGCGTTGCCCTCATGAAAGCATACTGCCAGGCAATCAGTACAATCTGGGTCGTAATCACACCAATCGTTGGATGTGGATTCATACTGGGTATGTCATTGGGGGCGTTTGCCTTGGCGAGCCCCGAGCTGATTTGACTATCCATAGTGCTCTTCCTGAAGGCATACACTCTGAAACGTAATGTGATCAGGAGTGGTGCTCAGCCTGGGGCCGACATTGAAGCTGGCCAGGCTACGCAGGCCGCAACTGAAAATCTTTCAGACTTACCCGTCAATCCATCTGCTGGGGATGATCAGGTTGATGGTGATGTCGCAGAGAAATCACGGTCGTCAATATCAAAGGAAGATGCCAGGACGAGTGATGCCACCTATGATGAGAACGGACTGACTTCACAGTTGCCAGCGGGGGTGAATCACGAACTAATAGCATAACGATGACCATGAAACGGGATATATAGGGTGGAATTTGCATACCATTGAAACTGCAGGAATCTGCGGGGAGACGCCATTTATGCTGCGCACGACATGCGTACTGATATAGAAGTGTGGTGTAGAAGACGGCTACTTATATCAGCCTTCGATCTATTATAACATCTATTTTTTCCTATCCCCCATTGATGCAGCACCAAGGTCCACCACACTTGTTTTCCTAAGGCCCGCTGACGAGACATGGTATGTACTTTACCTGCTGTGAGATATTTTTTGGATTGCCCACGGAGACATGGATCCGCGGAGGTGTATCGAAGAGAGTTGATACGAGATCGCCGAGTTGTCGGATGTAGTTGCTGCAAGGCTCTTGTATAAGACTGCCAAGCATGCTCAGCACTGGTCTGGATGAGGAAGCTGGCAGCCTGTCGGATTGATACGTCCACCGACACCGGAGGTCGGGCGCAACGGACCCGTGCCGTGCAGTCGAGCATGACCCGGTGGGCGTTCCCCGCCGCCTGCGGCGAAGGGCCGACAGGAGAAAATAAGCTGGCGACGCTCGACTCGGACCCAAGATCCAATTGTTGCAATGTCGGTAGCCAGGTACACATGCTACTTGAATTGGGTCGATCTTGTTGCTTGGCTGCCTGGCCTACGCTACGCTGCTATCTAGGAAGTGATCCAAGACAGGCTATATGAGTGACCGAAACCAGGATTTGGGGAACCTTGTGCAGGAAAGGATCCGAGCGCAGAAGAGCCGCGCCGGCCAGCTGCTGCCAATGGGGAGCGTCTGAGAGACACAAGCGGTGCTCGGGGCACGCAAACGGACTGCGGGACTGGGTCGCGACAGCGCATGCATTGATAGATGGGTCGCAGGAGGCTCGTGGAGGAGGAGAACAAGGAAGGGAGGCGAGGTTACTCTGGCTGAGACTGGAGAGCTGGGGGCAGTGATTGCCGCACGTGCTGGAGCCTGAAGACAAGTGCCAACCCAAGTTGCTCCTCCACTGCTTCCCCCCTCCCCACGCTCCTGCGACTCGTCCGTCCTCCGTTCCTCACGTCGTCTCCAATCCCTCTCATGCCATCAGAACACCCCCTCCCGCCCGCTCACGACCTACAACCCCAAGAACAACCCCAGGGCCAGATCAAGTTATGCTCTGCGTGTCACTGCCCGCTTTCTGCCGACTCTCCAAACACGCCCTTCCTCCTCCACGATTCTGTTGACTCTAGCGACACCAGCATCGTTTGCGGGCCATGTCGTGCCCGCTTCCTGCCTCCGTCGGGTTTATACGCCGACATGGAGCGAGAGCTGCTGCGTCGTGCGGCTTCCCTGCAAGACGACCGCAACGAGGCTTCCGCCTTGCACCAGGACACACTCAATCATGCGATACGCTCTGCCCATCCGTCTTGCCCTGACGCAGATGCAAATATGGATATCCCGTCCCACCCCCCGCCGTCCGCCACGTCCGACCCTATCGTGTTGCTCGCCCTCCCGGCCGCGCAAGCGCCTTCTTTTGTATCATCAGGACGTCCCCTCGTACCGCCAATTGACACCAAGTCGCTCATCCGGTCACAAGTGAGTCGGACGTCCCATCCTACCCAAACTCTGGCCAGCTCGCTGGCGTCAGCATCGCGCAATAAGTCCCGAGCCAAAGCGCCCGAAGATACTTATCCAGACCCCCTTCTCGACATTACTCATTTGCGAGTGCGCTCGCAGGGACATCATTGCCTCTATCCTGGCGCTACTTTTAAGGGTACTCAGAAGAGTGGGAGGAATAGCTATGATGTCAACGTCACCATTGTGGTCGGTATCGTCGTTGCTTACCTATTTGCGCTGTAGACTAATCTCAGCGTAGGATGTCGACTTTTCGTCTTCACATCTATGTGGATACCTTCGCATCCGTGGACTCACAGACGATTGGCCGGAGCTCACCACGTATTTCGACGCGCAGATCATTGGCAGTCGTTATGGGTTTTTGACACAGAACTGGGGCGCCAGTGAGCAGGAGGATATGGTGCATTGGGCCCGCTTTCCTGCTTTCCGACATGTCAAACCCGAGTTGAAAAGGCCAAATTTGACGATGAACGATGCGAATCGGGGGGCAGTGTTTATGAGGTGGAAGGAGAAGTTTCTGGTTCCTGATCATCGTGTTCAGGATATCAATGGTGCGAGCTTTGCAGGTGTGTTGAATCGCCGGTGGTCTTTGGTGGCCCGGTGTATTTCTCTGTTGATGTGATACCCACAAACTGACTGATACTCACTGTGATAGGTTTCTATTATGTTTGTGTGGATTTCAACCCTCAACAGTCGGCGTGTACGCAGCCACTCGCCTCACCCGAGACGCTGGCACAACCTTCTTCCCCACAAGCAGCCATCAAACCTGAGCTCAGTCCCCGCGCTCGCCGGACTTCGACAACCCAGGGTACTAGACAGATGTCCCTTGCGCAATCTCGTGGATTCCCTGCCGTTCCTGTTGCGACGATGAGTGGTTTCTATTATCACCAGAACTCGGAGCCGTGAGTGCACATTTTGTTGAGTTGACCATTGAACCCTCTTGACCGCTTGTCGATACAGGTACCAACAACTGTCTCTGGTTCATGTGCCCGAGCACACAACGTCGTGCTTTGAATTCAGATAAAGGATGTAGTGAACGAGGGAAACGTCCCGTTGAAAAGCTGTTCTGGCTGCTGTCACAGACGGCCCCGCTATTTTCCTATCCTGATCTAGCATTTATCGGCACTTCTCCTGTCTTGTACGTATTCGTGTTACCCCGCCACCCCTCATATATCCGGACATACCTCATCCCACGCTACCGGTTACCTTGTCTCTGTGTCCACCCCGCTACGCATTGTCATGAGTCTGTACGAGTCTGTGCCATGTCTATAACCCTCATAATTGCTGTACAATTTGGTTGCTACACTTGGGCGGTGTGCGCGTTATCTCCTGCGGGAGACAGCATTCAGCCATGGCGGGAGCGAGCCCGGCTATAGCCGAGGGTGATAATAACGGTTACAGCGAGATCTCGACGCCGGGCCTTGGGCCTTCTCCTCTCTCTCGCCTTTCCCTTCGTCCTCAGGTCCTCGTCCGTCTCGACCATGTCCGCGCACACTGCCCACTCAGCATCCTCCAACAACAACGTCGTTGGTGTGCACTATCGTGTCGGCAAGAAGATCGGCGAGGGCTCGTTCGGGGTCATCTTCGAAGGTAGCTCACCATTACGCTCAGCGTTCTAATGCTGCCATGATAGCACATTGAACAATGGTTCCACCTTGCTGCAACAGGCTCCAACCTGCTGAACTCGCAGACTGTCGCCATCAAGTTTGTACGCGCTGCCCTTCCGCCTGTCCGCAGTGATATGCTGACGCTAGCTGCGTGCGCAGGAACCGAGGAAAGCAGAGGCCCCACAGCTTCGCGATGAGTGTCGGTCGTATCGGATACTGGCCGGATGCCGTTAGTACTACTATCCACTAGAATATTATGTATTTGATTGACATCTGCACGAGCACAGCGGGTATACCCCAAATTTATCACTTCGGGCAGGAGGGGTTGCACAACATTCTTGTCATTGACCTACTAGGCCCTAGTCTTGAGGACCTCTTCGACATGTGTGGTAGAAAGTTCTCCATCAAAACTGTTTGCATGGCCGCGCGGCAGATGGTATGTGTATCTAGCTCTAGCAGCGTGGCGTGTCCCTCAGCCACACTATTTGTACAGCTTGCGCGAGTGCAAATAATACACGAGAAGAATCTCATTTATCGCGATATCAAGCCGGACAACTTTCTCATTGGGCGACCTGGCACCAAGGCAGCTAACGGTGAGCCGACTAGTCCATGATGTACACGCAGTATTGAACTATGGTATCTACTTCACTGCAGTGGTCCATGTAGTTGACTTCGGTATGGCAAAGCAGTATCGGGATCCAAAGACCAAACAACACATTCCGTACCGAGAGCATAAGAGTCTCAGTGGCACTGCTCGGTATATGAGCATCAACACGCATTTAGGGCGAGGTATGTCGTACATTATTAGGCCGTAGGCGGCATTCTTACTCACATCATACTCTATAGAACAATCTCGACGGGATGATCTTGAGTCACTTGGGCATGTTTTCATGTATTTTCTGAGAGGTAGTCTCCCATGGCAAGGTCTCAAGGCTGCGACCAACAAACAGAAGTACGAGAAGATTGGTGAGAAGAAGCAGACCACACCTATTAAGGAGCTGTGTGATGGTTTCCCGGGTTGGTAATCATCTCTCTAGGCTGTGCTTTCGTTCATGCTGCTTTGACAGAGGAGTTTGGTATCTACCTCAACTATGTCCGCAAACTCGGCTTCGAGGAAACGCCCGATTACGATTTCCTACGCGAACTTTTTGCGAAGGTCATGAAGAACAATAATGACGTCGACGACGGAGTGTACGACTGGAATCTCCTTAATGGTGAGTCTTTTCGGAGATATACGACAAACGTGCGGCTTATCTGTTGACGTGTGTCAGGTGGAAAGGGTTGGGAAGTGTCCCTGGTGGGTTTTCCCCCGAACATGAGGCGACAATGTGGTAGTAATAGCTTTTTAGGGTCAGAACCAGATCCTCTCGCAGATCCAGAACACAGCGGGACCAGGTCCCGGCTCTCCGCACGATCGCCGCAGAGATATGGACCGGCAAGCCCGCGAGGATCGACGGCGCGCATCACAGGCCGGTGCTGCTGGAGTCGTCCCCCCTTCACCTGCGCTCGTGCGACATGGCTCCAAGCAGCGCGCAGTGCCAGGAGCCCATCCACCTGGAGGCATAAACGCCCCTGGTCAGATAACACCTATGTCATCTGCGGCTGCGCATATGGACGTTCCAATCGGAACTATGCAGCGGCGGATGAGCCAGCAGCTGAGCGCGCAACATCCTTATGCAAACCCTGGCCACGAATCGTACATTCGTGAGCAAACGTTGGAGGAATACTCTGCCACGCAGCAGCAGTATGGACGTGCATCGCCAATGGTTTCCTCTGTGGGTGCAGCGCCACCCGCTCTGAGCAACGTTCGTGCTCAGGGAGGCGAGGTCGGGGTGGCAAATGACAGTGGATATCATGGTCAAGGGGAAGCCGAGCCACCGAAGAACACTCTTTGGAAGATCCTAACGTGTCGGTGTGGTTGAGTCATTGACCGGGTCTCTTCTGTCCTCTCATTTTCTCTTGGATACTTGTCGCTCACTCTCGTTCCTTGCTATTCTCGTCCAACATATACCTGCTTGCAAACTCATCGCTATCTTGTCTACGGGCTGCTCTCCTCCCATTGGATCACAGTCTATAATAGTTTTCTAATATGTGCATTTTGTCTTTGGGGTCCCATATGTGGACGATAGCTCTACAGTTCAATCGCATACATCGTACGGTCCGTGCAGTAAACGATTAATCGTATCGGAAGCAGAGGCGTTACAAGGAAGAGTTTTATTCTACAGTCTGTCTCCGGCGCTCGCCGCAAACCTACTATCAGCGGCCCTAATCTGCAACTTTTTGAAAGTTTGCCTTCCCCTGAAACAACGGCCGGCCGGAATGTCTCGGAATTTGCATCGTTCGAAAGCTAAGGTGCGCATTAGTGTCTGTCGATTTTAGAGGCCCTGTAGGCGTAAAGAGCAACGAGACCGAATGGAAACAAGCGTCGCAACTAATCTGCAACTTTTCTCCGCGGTCAGTCACGGATTTCGTCACGATGCCGAACTTGCCTGAGCCACCGTGCCGTAGTGCCGAATCTCAACGCGAGCCATCCGTGGCTGGGTCTGTCTCATGCCGGAACCGGCAGGAGACGGACTTCAGATCCAGGCTAAGATGCAGTGGCGTGTGTCACACTCGAGCATCTCTCACTTGGTTTCGAGTATTGAAGATGTATTCAGCCCCCTTATATGCTCGGAGAATATACTCCAAGGGTCTTATGTATGTAGTATATCTTCTCTGTATGGTCTTCCTCGAGCACACACAGAAGGAGAATGTCTATATCAGTTGAAAATTTCGCATTCTTTGATTTTTCAGTCTTTCTATTCGAACTAGACAGCTAATAAAAATCATATCCATACTCGCAAAAATCACGAGTATACAAAACAAAAATCCCAGAATTTCCGGAGGAGTGGACGCGTCAGAAATCGAGTAGTTGCATATTAGCTGCGATTGCAGATTAGGGCCACTGATGGTATATGAGTTCCGTGGTCTGAAGAGCTGAAGGGTATGAACCTTCATGTAACAGATTGAATAATCACATACATAAAGCACCATGAGCCTGGGGGGTAATACATACTGCTAAATCTACATGCCATTCATAATTCCAGATACACAAGATTTTACATGAGTTATTCTCGTGAAGCAGGCGCTAGTCTAACGGCGCAGCTGGTTTTGCTTGTCGCCTTCGTCACGGTAATTCTCGTCCCAGCAATCTGATCGTGGGTATAGTACTCGGTTTTCGAGGAACTTCAAACATGGAATTCAAAATCACGTCAAGGAGATTTGAGTGGGAGCGTACCTTGGCTACACTGCGCTCCAGTCGTGTGGGGTGTAGTCTCTTCGCTAGGTCTCGTCCTTAGAGTCGGTCTCATCATAGGCTTGCTTGGGTCTGCGCAATCCATGACGAAGGGGTGACGAGCCGTCACCAGCATGACTTTCTGAAGGACGGTAGCTATGATGACCGCTTATACTGGTACTATGGAGGTCTCTCTGGTGCCCATCGTTGTGCCACGCCGAGTTCGGAGTGCTCTCTCGTTGACCATCGTCATCAAGACTATGGTCGGGTCCATTTTGAGAGTAGAAGAACATTGGTCTACGATGGTGATTTAATAGGCCTCCAGATGGCATTCCTCTGCTAGATGCCACATCATGTGTCTGAGGCGACATCCAAGAGGTAAAATTCCTGTAAGGTACCTCAGGCCCAGGGCCCTATAGACGATTATTGAATTTTTTTTTCAGTAATGATAGGTGCAAAATCATATACAGACCCGTACTATTGTGGGACCTGATGGGTTCAAGCCAACTGGAGCACCATTAAGCACAAGCTGTGTCGAAAATTGAGGTACAACATTGAAGTTCCGATTGTGCACATTGGGAACAAATGAATGTGTCCCTTGCGCTTGCGATATCGTGGCAAAATGAGAAGTGAGATGTTCGAGAGCCCGAGCACCTGCGGCATTTGTCATCAGCTCATCTGCAACAGACAATCCACCGGACATGTGAAATGAACCATGGTTATTGCTTGTACTCGTTGAACTCTGGGGTATATATTCACGAGCCTGTGAGCGCCCAGGTTCGTCGTGAAGATACATGAGTGCATCGGCCGATTCGTTTTTATCCAATGCTTGCTTGATGTGACTCATTGTCTCCGCTTGCTGGAAATGTGCGATTTTAAGGGCCTGCTTCAATTCATCAATTTGTCTGTGCGCTCCAATGAGCTGTTGCGCCATGTCATGTTTTTCCCTCTCGAGACGTTTGACCTGCGTTGCAAGAAGGTTGCATTGGGTTTGTTGATGTGAACCTTTTGTGGGTCGTATCTGATAATCCACTTCGGTTTCATGACCCACATACTGGTCGTCATCCTGGTCGTCATCCTTGTTCTTAAACCTTCCTACATCAGCAGGCATTCTACCAGACTGCTCAGCCTGAAGCGCTCGATGAGGTCTCGGAGGGGAAGACGTATATGAAGAAGCCTCAGTGTGTGGGGCGGGATCGACATGCGGAGATGGCAAGATGTCAGGTGGTGACACAGCGCGAGCTGGAATGCTACTCTGCGGAATGACAGAACTGGACTGCAAGATCCAGGGTTTGGTGCTGACTGTGCGAACAGCATGCAGTGATTCTACGCGAGCAAGTTTATAGGCACCAGAAGAGTTTGCTTGCTTCACCCTTGCTTCATGCGCAGGGAAGTCCTGTACTCGAATGCCGGGTGGTTTTCCAGAACATCCTTTGAGCCGATTGGAATTAGTGGAAGGCGCCTTATCTAGAGCTGCTCGTTGTTGGACTGGACGCTTTCGGTGGGAAATTCTATTTGAGGGATATGAGAACCGCCGCGCTACTTGCGAAGGTGTCTTGATTGTGGGCGGGGGTATGGTCGAGTCCTTCAATTCTTTGCGCACAGAATACGAGTTTGGACTTTTGTCATCGGAAGGAATCGACGGTCGACGACTCTTGTTTTGTAAGTTCTTTATTGAAAAGTTGACGTGAGCAGCAATAGTATCTGTGGCAACCTCATAAGTGTTTGAACCCAATCTGTGGCTTGCGTCGGAGGTCTTATAATTGCGATCTACCGCGTTAGACAATGCATTTGCAAGACTCGGTGCATAGTCGTCTGTAACGGGATCATCACCGTCTTGCTTACGAGTCAAGTCAGGCTACGTGATACATTAACAGGCAGCATATATCGCTCAAGAGATTACATACCTCCTCATCATGCCCTGCTGACTTGGGTAGGTATTCTACACTTGTCTTCACCTTTTTCTTGGGATCCTCATTGACAACAGAATGGGGGCGCTTCAAAGGAAGTGGAAACACGTTCGAGGGCACCGGTGGAAGGAGTATATGATCAAATCTCATAGTTTTGCCAGGCCGAGAATGAATAATGAGTGGTGCAGACTGGATCCCCACTTCCTCAATTGAAGGCGAGAGCACTCTTTTGTCGCCGGGTTTGAACCTTGTCGATAAGGCTTCCTCTTCCGACGTAGACTCAAGCTCGTCAATTTCCGTAAGAGGACTCGAGGGATAGTCGAGCGCGTACGTATTGGGTTCGCTTTCATTCGGAGGAAATATATCAAATGGAAAGGTGTCCTGAGCTGTGCTCGCAGGGGCGTCTGATTTATCAAGGTCAGGCTGCACTTGTCCCGTTTCCTGCACCGGAACCGGCATCACGCCATGAGTGGAGCCCGAATCCCTACGACGCTCATCATCCGCCTGAATAGCGCCCAAGGCACTTTCTTCAGTCATATCCTTATCAAGCAATTTCATGCGCACCTCAGTCTCCTCTACATCATACCAACCATGTTGTGTGTTCGCTGACACTGGTCTGCATCGTCGATACCTCTGTGCCATTAGCACCAGCCGATCCTTCATACACAGATTCCCCGAGGAAATCGCTTGCACATTATCACGGACGAGGCCTTTGCGACTATCGACATGTAGCCGATGCCAGCTGGTGTGGATATCCTCCATGTGCTGCACAACGAGGGCTTCAGCAGCATGTATGCCAATTGCTAGAATGTGCTCAAAGCACTTCGAACCATGGCAGAAGGAGCAGTACAGAAGACTATCTGCAGGAACTTCGTGTCCATGCGCACCATGACCCCTACAGGAACGCGCTATGCCCGACTGAAGAAAACACCGAGTAGCGACTCAGCAAAAATGTACACATAAGCGCGCTGGAAAACGATCACCTTCCTACTATTCGCTATGCGCAAATTATACAGAATACAAGCCGCCGAAAATATCATGGGATGATGATCCGAAGTCAAGTCGCTAGATGTAAATTAATAGAGGATCTCCAGAAGTGCAGGCTATACAAACCTTGTGAAAGTCAGCTCCTCTTTGAGGTTCCCATATTGCTCGGGGTTAATGTCTAACAGTAGGCGAACCGCCTTATTTCGATCCTGGAGAAGTATTCGCATAGGATTGCATTGAACAGGCTCCATCTCTCTGCAGGCGCATGAACGGCCCTCAACATAACACATTGGGCATATCAGTAAACCATCACCATGGCCAACATGTTTGTCTTCAGGCCCTGCAAAACACTTTTGACACTCAAAAAAACTCTGGAAAATATCGCAGCCGCAGAAGTCGCAAGCAAGGGTGCAAGATACAATATTCTTTCCCCTGCCCTTTCTGCTCCATGAAGGCGAAGGGGGGCGCATTACTAAGCGAGTGTCGCGGGAGGAAATATTCCAGCCTGCACAGTCTTCATCTGAAAAGACGTGGGGAAGATGTGTGTGGTTCTCGACATATTCTGCGAAGAGGACTTCGTCAAACAGAGGGAGGAGAGAACTCAGTATTTTGGCGGAGGTCGATTGTTCGCCAGCTGTTTGCTCATTGGAAGGCCCCGAGTCGGAAGTACTTGTACAGTCCAAAGTCCTATATGTTGTTGATAGCATGATACAGGGATAACATAGGATAACATTCACCGTGCTCACCTTCTTCTACGCGGTCCTTTACGAGATAACATTTTCAAATCATCTGTGAAGTAAAGAAGAGAGCGATACAAGATCGATTTAACACGGTAAAGTTCTGAGCGACCAACGCTATTATACCTAGCGATCAAAATCCGTGTGAACAGAAAGAGTCTAAACACATACCGTTGGTAAATGGGCAGTTCGTGATGAAGTGCTAGTGCTATTCCCTTGACGGTCATCCTCGACCACGATAACTTCATCGTTAACCCTCCATGATTTACGACTTGATGACAGCATCTAGGCGGTACCAGCACCAAATCTCCGAACCTCTGTTCGGCAATATACACATCAAATGGTGCGTCGGCAAACTCCTGGACGCTGCTGACGTGTGTTTCCCAATCGAGCTCCTGGCCCAACTCACGTTGAAAGTAGTCGGAGACGTCCTGCGCAGCATCAGAGGCAGTCATAAACCAGAATGATGAGCCGCCATTCTCGGTGTAGCACATGAGGTTTTGTCCTGAAGAGCCACATAGATCCTTATGACAGGGAGTATAGGTATCACCAATGCCAAGATAGCACATAAGCGACTCGACACTTTCCTGCCAGTGGATCAGTGCATTTGTGTTAAGCGGTCGAGAATACGACACGCGACGTACTGATGCAGGAAGGTGTCTAAAAAGGTCCCCAGGACTTAGTGGAAGTAGTTTTCGGGGCAGAAGGCTCTCGGTATCCAACCATTTCTTCCATTGTGGAGGACATACCATGTCTTTTCCGTAAGGCCGCTCGGTTTCTGAGGCGGGCCGTCACGCGTCAGGTTCGACCATAGAAATAGACCATGTAAGATACGCATACCATTGACAGTCGTAAAGGACGGTAGACTGCGGCACTGTTTTAAAAAGTCGGCAAGTTGGACGTCCTTGTCGGTTCGATCATGGAGATTACGTATAGATATAGCTAGAGGGCCCGCCTCAGTATCCATTAGATATGGCAAAGCGATGGCTCACTGTCAGACCCGTGATGGTCCAGCAGCCATTCGGGACTAAAGAGGTTAGTGGACCAATTTACACTCTCCTGCCATCCCTCGATTATGAGGGGGGTTCCATGCATCTCGTGCTCCTCCAAAGCGCGTTGCATGTTATCGGCTCCATCTAGCACAGATACTCGAGGGACCTGTTTGAAGCGTTTACCGTTTTGGAGCAGCATGTTCAGTGTCCAGTCTTTCGTCGTAAACGAGAGTGTGCCTTTGAGGGATGTGGTTTGTGGCGCGCACTGGGATTCCGCTACTCCACTGGGAGCTGTGGGTCTGTCCGATTGTGCGTCGCTCTGTCTAGAGATCGGGAGGCTGTCTGGAGAAAATAGAGGCGTACTGCCTACAGGTCTTTGCGGCCTTGGTTTGCGAGGAACACCGACTGGAGCGGGAGCCTGGCCCCACTCAGGATGCTCCTTCAGGAGAGCCTTTCGCCGCCGCTCCATGACGCACCCGTACGAACAACTAGCAGGTAACCAGGAGGATATAAAGGACCCAGATTACAGGCCTATGTGAGCTGCCGCGGCAGAGTGGGACGGGGGTGACTCGGATGTCGTCAGGGTAGGGGTGTACGATGATGTAGTCAGTAGTATCCTGATAGTTCTTGCGTTCTAATACTATGGTCCGCCCCAGATTGACAGTTGCGCGCTCGTGAAGGGAGTTCCCAGTGACCCATTCAACAAATGAACGCTGGTTAATTGATGATTATGCTAACGATGACATGGCTCGCCGCTCAGTGCACGATCGCAAACACACCTCTGTTGCCAAGTGGTGACCGACGTCGACGCGCTCGGTAACGCGGCCGTGACGGCAGACGATCAGCAGCCTCTAACGTCCTGCTCTCTTTCTCTTCCTCTTTCTTTCAAGCTGCAGCTGCGCGCTTCTGACATTGCGGTTCCCATGTGAGCTTTGGCTGCGCTAGTCATATTCGTACATCTCCGGTGCTGTCTGCATCGACTCGGAGTCCAGAGCCCTACTACGTGATCTGCTTCCTCGCAATATCAGTTTTATCCCGGATTACTGTCCCAAGACTGCGCGTACAGGATCCCTGTCTCATCGAAGTCCAGCTTGATATTTGAAAGAGCCACCGGCTATGGACTCAACGACAAGCCAGGAGCTCGATTTCTGGGAGTTCGTCAATTGCGCCCGCTGTCATCTTTCCTTCATTTCAGACACTGGGGCCCCTCAAGTACCCTTCTGGCTCACTGAATGCGGACATGTTATCTGTAATAATCACCTTAGTCAGTGCTTTTCAGATTATGCCCAATGTAAACAACGATGGTGATACCCTTCCTGATGCGCATTTTTACTTGCAGACGCGAACCAGAGCTGCGCTCAGTGTAACGCACAAGGGATTCAGTTGATGCCTTTACAACTCGAAGTGCGAATCTATTGAGTTTGATTGACCGCCTTTTGTGACCGCTGTGCTCAATTTAAAGATGGAAGCACCAATGTCAGAATGGTTCCGATCAGTTCCGCTTGCGTTGGACGCAGTTGCCTATGCTACTAGGGCAAGAAATTCCGTTTTCTCTCTTGCATCTCTTAAGCACTTATATTTGCATTCAGTTTCAGATGGAAACCATGGCGGCATTAGTGCGGCACTATAAGAATAAATATGCAAGACAGCGCGAGCTTCTGGATCGCCTCAAGAATGAGTACAGGATACAGAAAGCGTAATTTGCTCCATTTCTGTTGTGATTTTTCTGATGTGCATAGCATCTGCCACGCAGAAATCTTCAGAACCTGCAGTCAGAAAATAACCAATTGCGTCAAGACCTTGGTTATGGCCAAACGACGCCTTCAGAAATTCCAGATAGGAACGGGAAGCGCAGAATGCTAGATGGTCACCGGTATGCTTCATTCACAACACAAACTTTCTTACATGTGTGCTTGATGGATGCATAGGCATTCAAACGGTACACTAACCAGCTCTAGTCCTCGTACGGTCGTGACGCCAATTGGGCCTAATCGACTGACCTTGCCGCCGGACCATCAACAACCTACTTTTGCATCCAATCACGCGTCCCATAGACATGGCGACGACTATGCTCCTATGCGGACTATCCGAGAAAAGGTTGATATCGAGAACGGGCCTCCACAAAGAGATAGGCCGGGGTCTAGTCGGTTTGCACAGTACGTGTCCTACATTAATATCCGCTGAGAGACATTAGCAAAATCGATAATCCAGAGAGTATGCATATATACCTCCTCCATCCACGCAGAGTCATGTCGTTCCGCAGCTCGCTCTTTCTCATGCACAGGCTGCTCCGGCGCGACATGCGCTAGCACGTCAAGCGTTGGTTCAAGGAGGTTCGTCGTTGCGCGCGCAAATGACCATGCCACCACCACCACATCCAACTGATCGCATTTCTCAAACTCAAAACTTCAATTCACAGACCACCATATCTGCAGCTGGCGATTATAACAACTTACAACATCGGGGTCAGGGTGCTACTAGTCGGTCTGAGATGCCTCCACCTCCCACGCCCCGAGCACAGGCAAATGGGGTCCATCAACGTAGTTCTTTCCAGCCCACGGGAATGCCTCGACCGGTGGCTTCGACGCCCAGTAGCTCGCGCCGCTTCGTGCCGCCGAGAGCGGGAACGAGTACTTCAGGGAATGGACATCTACAGCAAGAGGACTTGCTACCTGGGCGGCCACCACTTCCAACTCAGTCTGCGGACCCCTCGCGTTTCTTGGGACCTGAATCTGGCCGTGCCTTTTCTGTTCAGCATCATACTTCGAGCGCGGGATCAAGAGCGCCGTCAAGTGCTCGTCATGGTACTGCATCCTTGGCTGTGTCCGGGGGTCAACGTATGTCATTTGTGCCGGGTTCGTAGATTGTATTGTTATATTGCTTCTTTGTCCTCTATTACTGCTGTATACTGTACATACTCGTGTACTAAAGCATCTGCTTGTGCCAGTATAAATGTACTGAAGTATCCTGGGGGGTTTTTTTTTCGATCCGCGAGTATGATCAGGTGCAATCTCGATTTGAATTGAAAGTCAGACAGGGGCCCCCGGTGCGCGCGCTGCGCACCTCCGACAGGTGGCTACCGTGGCTACCACCACAACAAGGCTGTACTCTGCATTCCCCGAGCTCTAGCGCGGGTCGCTTCAATACCTACCCTTCTTGCTATCATCTCCTTGATTTCCTTCATGGCGTATCAAGACCCTTACTACGGCAACCAGCAGCCACTAGACGAGCCTTTCAATCCCTATGCTAATGACCAGCCTCACAGGTCGTACGACCAGGGAGGATTCAACTACGACAGTGGAGGATATAGCGGCGGATACAACGACGATCCGAATGCGGGTACGAAAGAGGAGAGAGAGAGGAGTGTTTTTGAGGCCGATGATGCAGCTTCACGGCCATTAGGTCCAAGGTCCGTCTGCGACGACCTTGTCGGTCTTCTCCTAAGCTTAGACATGCTTCCTGCCAGGACCTCTAGAAATCTGCGAAAGTGGCGGTATGATAATCAGGGTGGATTATGGACTAAAGGCGGTGGTCTTCGCGCCTGCGGGCGATTCTTCTGTTGCACTTTGATGATTGCAGTGTTCCTATTCATTAGCATTGTGCTTTCATTGGCTTTGGTACGTCCGCATCTTTATTGTCGCATACGTCTTCCCATTTTGTATACGTTAGTGGATAAGACCACCCAGTGTCCTTATTAGGGACCCTCAGCTCGTACAGAATAGCAGCGCTGTAGGTTCTTGTGAATGTTTTTATAATACGTTTTTGCTGAAGTGTTGACAGGTCACTATCTCAAATGACACTCTCGAGATCCTAATGGACCTCAATGCAACGTCAGTCAACTGAGCAGTACAATTCGGTACATCTGACGTCATTAACAGTGTCAACAACCCCAACTACTTCTCGGTTGATCTTGCTGACATCCAAGTTGATGTATGCCCCAACACTTCTCTTGTCGTGGTCTTTAATTAAATGTCGTCACAGCTCTTCTATCCTATCAATAATACCGCTCTTGGTGATGCGCAAGCGAAGAATATCGACTTCAGATCGAATACGCAGACCAATTTTACCCTCAATATCGCTTTGCAGTACAACTTCACCTCTGCACCTACTACTGATATTCTTGTTGACTTGGCGAAGAGATGTGGCATACTTCCTGGCGTAGCCTCGTCGGATATAACTCTCAATTATAAAGTATTGGTGCGTTTGCATCAATGTATGGTATAGTCCCAAGAATTGTAGAATGCTAAATCGGCCCTTCTCAGCTTGACATTAAAATTCTAGCTATCCCTATCAAGCCCACAGTCAGCAGCTCGGTCAGCTTTGCGTGCCCGCTAAGCTCTGCCGACATCGGGGTCGGTTTTTCCCCAGTCGCTGATAGCATTTTTGCTGACTCTGACGTGATGTAGGAGATGCTGCAGCAAGCGGGTATTAATGCAGACGATCTAGGCGACTTGTAATCACACCTTCAGATATGGGATCTACTATCGGACTTGTGGATTTTATCCACGGACTATACACTATAAACTATCGATATATGAGCCAGGAGCTCGATGTTTTGGATACTGCGGCTGCAGAATTTACTGAATTCCCAGCATGTCGGCATATGGACAATATATCCCATTACTCCTAGAAAACTTGAGTGTCATGCACAGGAACGGTAGGTGAACGAAGTGTTATGGGAAGTTAGTGAAGACAAAGTCGTCGTACTCCTCAGTCCACAGGGCCCTGCTGGATCACACGATCGACATCCCGTTCGTTCATCTCCATCTCCCGTAGAGTATTCCCAGACGCCCCTTCCAATTGTTTCTCCATTTCACTGCCGATGATGTCTGGTGCCTCACATGCGTATAAGCATTGTCCAATCATTGTCCTCCACTTGAGATGCCCGTCGACTTGGTCACACGAGAAGTTTTCGATGCCTTTGACCACCACTTGTTCGAGACCTGCTACAGACCAGCTCGCATTGGACAAACGCGATAAGACGGCGAGAATATAATCATTTGAGCCGTAGCCATTGACAAAACGGCCGGCAACGACACGACGGGCAGCCGTCCATGCTGCTTCGTCGACAGGGATAGGTGACCCAAAAATGAAGACGTCCTGGACCAGGTGAACAGTCTGTGACGGTAGGAGTGAGGCAAGGTGCTGTAGTGCCTCGAATATCACAATGGACCCGAGAGAATAGCCGACAAGTGTGATGGGGCGGTTACCAAGGACGCGTTGTGCAAGCAGTTTTCCCAGCACTTTCCCGGCTTTACTCGCTAGAGATTTTGCAGTCATCCAAGGATTATCTTGTCAGGCCCCAATTAGTATGCCTGATCAATCAACCAGCTTCGCGCGACCTACCAATAATTTGCATAAGCTTCAGCCATGCAGCAGGCGAGAGCGCCGCAAACAAACTGGCGAAGACAGTCCGTTTGATGATCTCTGCTCTCACATACTTCATTGTTTGCGCTTTGATTAGAACAGTGAGAGCATTGGATAGATCTTCCAAGGCCTTGACCTCCTGTCAACCCCAAAGATCAATTTATTTGCCAAGCATCATGATATGGCTCCAACAACATACCCACCGCAGGGCGAATGTATCGTCTCCGCCAAAAATGGACCACGGTGCAATGACATCCTCAGGATTGTCCAGCCAGCCGCTAACGCAGAGTCTAACCGCCAGTGTATTTCTGGGCCCACCAACTGGGACAATAGCTAGGTCGTTAACTTCTCTGAGGTATCGACTCACAGTATCGGCCGTTCTTTTCGACCCATACGCTCCGAACAGAGCGCCACAAACGACAGAGGAACTAGCAAGGCCACTTGCCAATAGCCCCGCTGCAGTGCCACCAACTCCAAGCCAGCCGAGGATAGTGGTGACGCCCGCGCCCACTAGCGGTGCTGCGAGCCCACCTGTGACCCCTATTAGCACACCGCCAGCGACTGCTCCAAAGCCTATGCCAATATTGCGGAGAGTTTTGGACTGTTCTGATGCCTCGCGCGTGGTATTGCCGGTCTTCCGCTGTGCTTCTTCCAGTGCATGCTTTGGATTCTTGAGAGTCGCTACGACTGCTTCCTCGTCTAAAACGCCAAACGATGACAGGAAAGCGCGTGTGTGGGCAGAGTACGTCTTGCTAGAGGTAACATTAAGGAAGAGGACCGTGTTGAGAAGTTTCTTCATGCGCTCCTTGTCAGGAAGCCTGGGGAGATCCACAGAAGATGTATCGGAGAGAGGTCCGAGCGTTGGAACTACGCCTGATCGCAATTGAGTGGTCATAGATATCAGTCATAAGTTATGGCGCGAAACGTACCTCCAGGTTCCCCACAGGCCAACCAGACATCTTTCAGCAGCTCCTGGCACCAATCACTCATAGATCGCACGAAAGAAGCCCTGATATTTTCCCTCCGTGCTTCCGAGAGTGCGGAGAGGTTATACTCAGCTAATGCATAAAGTTCTGCGGTATTCCGACGGGCTGCGAGACGACGCATAACATGCTGGAATACCGCAGCCCTCTCGTCGTCACTCAGATCCTTCGGGGGCGTAATTTGTGTGAGATCACCCATCCAGTATACAGGCAGGAGAAGCAGGTGGAGTGAAGAACATAGCTCGCACTGACATTCGGTGGAGTTCCCGCATCCAGGTGATCAGCGTCACAGAGCGGCTACGGCTCTGGGTAGTGTGCAATACGGAACGACGAAGGTTTAGTCACGTCCAGAAAAGCCGAGTAGCCGGATATACGCCATTGTCACTGCCTTTCTAATGAAATCGCTGAGCCAGAAATGCGAGAACAAGTCGAAGCGTTCATGCACAAGTAAAAAAAAATTTACTTGTCGCGCGCACTATGTCAGGGATACATTTTCTGCCTTTCGGAAATAGATGTCAATCTGTATGATAGCACAACAAGTTACAGCGTACTTTCCAGCCAATCTTTACCATACCGGACAGCCGAGGACGAGAGCTTGCGTTAGAATTCGGCGAGACGCCGAAGGAGAATAGACAGGGCTGGCTCGGACACGTGCGGGCTTTTCACCGCTCACCTCACATTCAGGCTGGTCAACGTCGGGCACGATAGCGAGGAGGCTCATGAGCCTCTCAGGTTTGGTTTGTACCCTTTGTTCTGTGCTGGGCAGATCAGTAATGCTAATGTTGGAGCTGTAGTTCGCGTGTTCTCTGCGCACGCAAGTGCGCAATACAAGGCCACCATCACTTCAGTCTCTACTACAGTCTCGCTCGCTCATCCTCCCATCTCATCCATCCTCCATTCTTTCGCATGTCCAAATACACCCATTCTTGCGACAACCTGCCGCTCTCCAACATAAAAGACTGTTCTCTCTGGCCTCCGTCTTCTCACGCAGGCCTACCCCAACGCCACCTCCCACTGTGGTAGCAAGGGTAGCTGCAATTGAAGCAGAGGCGAATGCCAATCCCTACGGCGTCGAGAAGCAAGTTGCATTGTTTGAGGCGTTGGTCGGGACAGATGTGAAGCCAGGGTATGACGTGGTCATTGCTAGATGGGAACGAATGTGTGAATTCGTAAGCTTCTACAGTTCCTACACTTTGACTGCCTGTATTCAGCTTTTAATAGGATTCCTCAAACCCATTGCTTCGCTCAGACATCGCTTTCCAACTCTATCTCACTGCTTTGGTCAAGAGCGGTCTTACAGCTTCCGTTGATGCGGCAGTACGCAGACGCGACACACTGCTCGCAGCAGCCAGTGCTTCCGGCCCTGCGGCCTCCTCATCTCCATCTGCGGAGGCATCAACTATTTCAGCGGATTCTGCTGTCTCTGCTCCGGTGTCAAATTCAACAGAACCCTCGTCTAGCAATCGGCTTGCGCAGGCTGTCCTTGCGGGGCAAGCTCCTACCACTGCTAGTGCCGTCTCCTCCAATACCGACATGGCTAAGCTTTCGGCGGCTCTTAGCACTGGGGTAGGAGTTCCGGGGAACCCAATTGTGGTCTCACTCAGTGAACGTGCGTAGTCCTTGTCGTCCTGTTTTACGTTTCTTCTTGTATTCGTGCCATTGCTCGCATCTCGTGCCCACGATGAGATCTCTTCTTTCCCAGTGTGAAGGGTTTCCTCCGAATACCGTGGGTAGTATTTGTTTTCACGGCTGCTAATTGGTCGTCCCCGAGTTCCTGATTGTCTTCCCCATGCGCCATGGCTATCTTTCCCGCGGGAACTGCCGCATCTACTCAATTGCTCCAGCTATACGTGTATGACAGATCTTCTAATGAACGTCTTGAGTAATATCAGAGTTTAGCCGTACTGTATCTGCTTATCTCAACTCTTCGTTTTACCTTACGTACGGAACACAAGAGATATTCAGTACTGATGTTTTTCATCGACAGCAAAGGGGTCATGGATACCACGGCTCGTCAGGTTTGTGATACTCACCGGATTATCTGGGTTCTGTGAGTGACTCTTCCTGTTGAAGCACAATGGATCTATCCTAACTAGTGCTTTGTTATCCTTAGTCATTCTGGTCATGCTTGCTGTCCTGCTAGAGAATTCCGGTTTAATGAAAGCAGGACCACGACAAGCTGAATTCGAGCCCGCGCAGGGAAAGACTTATAAGTTCAGTGATGTACACGGCGTAGACGAGGCTAAGGACGTGTGTACATGCGACTGTGTTGCTTATAGATGGGTTCTGAACTGGTTCATAGGAACTGCAAGAGGTTGTAGAATTCCTCAAGGATCCGACGTCGTTTGCTACACTGGGCGGAAAGCTTCCAAAGGGTATCCTTCTAACTGGCCCGCCTGGAACCGGTAAAACCATGCTGGCCCGAGCGGTTGCTGGTGAAGCTGGCGTACCGTTCCTGTTTGCTTCTGGGTAAGGATCATCCTCTTGTGTCGCGACTCCCCTATAACGTGTGCTCCTTGCAGTTCTGAATTCGATGAAATGTTCGTTGGAGTCGGTGCAAAACGTGTACGGGACCTCTTCGCTACGGCACGCAAGAAGCAGCCCGCCATCATCTTCATCGACGAACTCGATGCCATAGGTGGCCGGAGGTCGAATCGCGATCAACACTACCTGAAACAGACTCTGAATCAGCTCTTGGTTGAGATGGATGGATTCCTGCAAAACGAAGGTGTCATTGTGATTGCGGCAACCAACTTCCCGGACAGCCTGGATCCGTGAGCCTCGCGTACCATGAAAGAATTTGACTTCGTTCTGAGCTAATGCTTCACTATTTCCAGCGCGCTTGTACGACCCGGCCGATTCGATAGGCACATTGCCGTTCCTCTTCCTGATGTCCGCGGCCGTGTACAGATTTTGCAGCATCATATGAAAGATGTCATCACGGAGCCGGGTGCGTTGGATTTCTGTATGACGGAAGCATGGCGCCGCGGCTAATCACTACTCTGGACAATAGGCGTAGACCCAATGGTCCTCGCACGAGGGACGCCAGGTTTCTCGGGAGCGGACCTCCAGAACATGGTCAAGTGAGTATAACGTCTAGTTTGGGATCCGGTTGTCGCCGTTCTGACGCTGCTGGCTTCTGTTAGTCAGGCGGCAGTACAAGCTTCGCGCGTGGGCGCAAAAGCAGTAGACCTGAAGCACTTTGAATGGGCCAAGGCAAGTACAGGAATTCGGCTTGCCACGACTCATTCTTATACCAAGTGCCCAACCTCAGGATCGAATTGTGATGGGTACCGAGCGGAAGACAGCATACATCAGTGACGATGTGAAACGGCTGACTGCGTATCATGAGGTTGGTGTTGTACCAACCATAGTGTACCGCGCTGATGCGGAGTATCATAGGGCGGTCATGCGCTTGTTGCGCTGTACACCGATGGGGCTATGCCTCTGCACAAAGTTACTTGCGTCCCTCGTGGGCATGCGCTAGGTGTTGTACGTCCGTTACTCATGCTGCGATGTGACTTTGTCTCACGGGTGGCACGTTCTGCTTGATTTCGCGATCACTAGACCAGCCAGCTGCCGGAAGACGACCGGTATTCGGTGTCACTCAAAGAATACCTGGCAATGATCGATGTGTGCATGGGTGGCCGCGTCGCGGAGGGACTCGGTGTGTCTCGAATCCTTGTCTATTGTGATCTGTACCACTGAACTGCTTCGCACAGTATATGGGGCGGACAAGGTGACTAGTGGGGCATCCTCGGACCTGAAACAGGCTACGCGGACTGCCCGAGCGATGGTCAAGGTGAGGAGGCCCTCAATCACCGCGGTGCTCCATTCCACTGACCACGGCGCTATATTCACGCATATCTCTTATTTTTCTCGCATGATCGTCGCTCCAGAACTGGGGGTATTCGGACAAAATTGGGCCTGTCTATTATAACGACCGCGAGGACGCGATCAGTCCATCCAAGAGTGATGAAATAGAAGGAGAAGTGCGCAGGTGCGTGTCGTTCCCTTGTGTCTTGGGGATGTCCAATCGCGCGCGTCTGCTCGGGGTGATATTCGTCAGGTGGAACCTTGGGCGATTTCGGCAGATGCCCGCGCATCCCGCGAGAATTATTGTGCCGTGCTGACTGACGTTGTGTGATGGCAGTTTACTGATAGCGGGAGAGTCGCGCGTGACAACACTGCTGAAAGAGAAGGAAGCAGAGCTGCATCGGGTAAGCGTTGTCTTGTTCTTCGGGGCGCGCGTATCGTTGTTGACGCGGTGTCCGGACATTTGCACCCATTTCTCATCGCTGTCCAGCTGGCATCCGCGCTCATGGAGCATGAGACCTTAGACGCCGATGAAGTCAAGAAGGTCATCAAAGGAGAGGCAATACGGAACATCAAGGAGGTACTCCAGGAGGACCTCTCACGGATGTCAGATGAATCCAGTTCATAGCATTACTTGTTCTTGAACGCGCGGGATCCGTATAGCGTTCTGCCACTCATGTCTCATACCACATCGCTTTGTGTTACTCGTCGTTACTAATCTAGCAGAATAATTAAATGGGCTTCTTCGCGTGCCATTAGATTATCAGACTGGATCTCGAGCCTTCTGCACCCTTGTCGAATTCCGAACGCCAGGTATTTCACAGAACCCCGCGGCAAATGCCGGCCTCAACCTTGTTCGTTCATTCAGAGTCTGTACTGGACATGGCTAGGACCTTCCCCTAGCTTCGCTTCCCCCGCCTGGTGACACTGTTCTCTTTCGTCGCTCCGTAATATAAACTGGACGGGCGAGCCACACAGTGTCATATATAGAGCTGCCCAGTCTGCCGTATGATGGAGAAGTCTGCGTGCACATTGCGTGGACGGTCACCTGGCACGCACTTGGGCAACACCTGCGGCAGAATTCGTCGCCAGTCCTGCCGTCATCTACGCCCAGCCGCGCCGCCTGCGGGCGCGGTGCAGACCAGTCGGTCTCGTCCGTCTAGCCACTTCGGCGGCGTGTCGTGGCCGACCAGGCGAGGCGGCCGGGATCTTCGCAATATTGGCACAGTTGAGAACACCGTTATCCTGCTGCCTGCATAGCCGGGGAACTCACGGTGTGCGGGAGTCGAGGCGCGTTACTGGACGTCGCGCGCGGCGCGGATCTGGAGCCCGTCGAGACCCAGCCCGATCCGCGACCGGGGAGCATTGCTACCAGAGGAACTGCCGGATGTTGAAGAATGGCCTGTCGACACAAGTCGCCGTAGTAGGGACACAATCTAATAGCCTCGGCGCCAGGAATGTATATGTCCGGGAAGACTTTAAGCGGGCGCCCCCGAGGCTTGTCCTCGCCCGTGCTTCCCCGGAGCGCGGAGCGAGAGCGCAGAGACCCAGAGAGTGCGTCAGAAGTGAAGGGCGAGGCCAGAGAGCACTGTTGCTCAGAGAATTTACGCCACGAAGGTCAGTGTGACGACATCTGGACGTACTGTTGCGGTGAGGCCATGCCGAGAGCTCCGCCGTCGGAGGCCGCTGAACTTCTTCCACCACGAGACGCGGCGGGAAAAGCAGCCGCGCTAGTCTGGAAATTGTCAACGGGCAGACATTGGCGTTGTGCTGTTGCAGATCACATGTGACCCGTGCCAGAGCTGTTGAGGGCCGGGCCAATATTGCTGTATCGAGATAGCTGTGCCTGCCGGGAAGGAGGGCATCGATGCATCCGCTTGCTGATGCAGAACACGCCTAGAAGACACACGTTCGGTGACGCTGCGATCCTAGGCGGCGCGGTCCCTGCGTTTCACGCCGGTGGCACAATCCTACAAGAGGCTTGTTTTGGTTAGCAGCCTGCCGATTTACCTGCGGAGAGTAATGGTAAGCCGAGCGCCCACGGGAAGGAGCTGCAGGGGAGGGGGGCGAAAAGCGGACTGAGCAGTTGATCATCGGATGGGCGCGGGCGCGGCTATCCTGGGCAGAAATGGCAGGGGTGATCGAGGCTAAGTTCAGCCCTAGCTCTGGCACGAGAGCGTCGAGGATGTATGTGAGCAGGTCTTGGCACGCAAAGGAGGGAAGAGACTGCCCGGGCAGGATGGACGGCGCGGGGAGCGTTGGTAATGTGACCGGCTGAGGTGATATTCTAACCGAAATGAGGGTATCAGGCATGAGAACGAAATTACACTGCGCACTTGGGCGATGAGGACTTCTGGGCTTCTGCGAGTTGAGAAATTGTCGCAGCTTATGTCTGTCGGGTGGGCTGTACTAGGATTGGAGGCTGATAAGACTACTAGGTGTTCTGATATGGACCGGGGAGGAGAGTGTATGTAAGCGAATATTACCTCAGACGCGCCATCAGGTGGCCGACGCTTAGCGGTGGGTTGTGATCAGTCAGTGTATCTCTCGCCAGAGACGAACCCGACGGAAGGCGGGGGGGGAGGGAGATGAGTGGGCCCAGAAAGGGGGGTTGCAAGTGGCGACGAACTTAAATCAAGCGCTCTTGGGGTGGCAATTTGTTGGTCCGACTGAGAGACGAGCGGAGGTTTGTTGTCAACGAGGGTAATTTTGCCAGGTTGGGAACCGAACGCGGGATAAAGAGGGGGCCTGGAGGCGGTGTAGCGGACGATATATGGAGGCCGAGAAGTCATGGGCAAGCAGGGGGCCGTGGCTGGGTCGGGCGGGGTGGATGACTATATTGTGGCATGTGGGAGAAGGAGAGGGAGTTGGACGAGGTCTGGGCTGTGGGGGGGGGCAGACAGGGCGCACCATGAGGCGAGAAATGGGACGAAACGGGGAGCAACGGTCGCAATGTCGCTTATGCGTGTGATGCTGACGTAGCGGATTATGGCGACGAATTTCGGAACGGGGCGAAGGACGCGGATTGAGGCCGTGGACCCGGAGGTGCTGGACAGGCGAGGGGCGGGTGGTGGCACGCTGCGGCGATGGGGAGCAGGGATGATTGTGGAGTCTGGCAAGAGAGGGCGCAGAGAGAGGGAGCGAGCGGGTCGCTGGGCGCAGGGAGGGCGGTGAGGGCGGGGACGGAGGGCGGGCTGGCGACTATTACCAGAAAACGACGTACGGAGGAGGGGGCGGGCGGGAGGGGGCACGTGACGGGGCGATTGGCGAGGAGATTGAGTCCGGAAGCGGATCGATTCGAGCGGTGCGGCAGGAGGCCGCATGGTCGATCAGAAGTGCGGGGGGGCAGGAACAACGAGCGCCTGAAGCAGGGGAATATTCGTGCATGTGCGTGTGCGTCTCGCAATAGGGGTTTTGTCGAAAATTTGGGTCCGCTTGGATCCGTCAACCTGGCCGACGACGGTGGCCCCCATAAAAAGGGCGCGTCGCTGCCAGCTCCCGCCTTGCCTGCAGCCCCCGCCCTGCCCCGCCCTGTCCCTCGCCGCCGC